GCGTGAGAGAGTGGAGTGGAGTGGAGCTGCTGCTCTTTCTCCATCTTCCACTCAAATTAATAAACAGTTACGCATGCGCCGTGGAAAACTTGTTGCTGCAGAGGCACCTCCTGCCGCCTGCCGCCTGCCGCTGCTGCTGATTGCCGGGGCCGGGCCATGGATGCATCCATCACTTGTCAGGCCCCGACTGCAGCTCCTGCAGCAGCAGCAGCAGCAGCAGCAGCAACAATCTGAGTCTCAATCTGCATCGCAATCTGCCGTTGGACTGGCTGGCTCCCTGGCTGGCTCCCTGGCTGTCTTGTCTGTTATTTCGGCAATTGCTGTAATCAATGCGCTGTTATCAATAACAGCTAGCGGTGTAATAATTGAATGCAGACCAAGGAGGAGCTGCATGGAGCAGCATCCCCGCTGTCCAGGCCTCCGTCTTGGGACTGTCTAAAATTGCGCAAACAAAATTATGATATATTTGCCAGCAAAACAGAACGGAACAGAACAGCAGAGCAGAACAGAGAGAACAGATCAAAGTAGAGCTGGGCCAGTGGAGTGAAATGCGAATGCCAAGTCTGTGATTAGCCCCGAGTCGGGGGGAGCCGACTGTCGGACAGATTGATTGCTGAACGGGGGGGGTGGGAACATGGATGGTTTGGAGAGGATTCATTAAAGCCATGCAAAGGCCATCAAAACAAATCAAAGACAGGACACATGCTCGTAAAACTCTAGGGCTCCGACCACGGACTGTGGGAAAGAATTGCTGGCGAGGCGAGGCGAGGCGACCCGGCCCCTCCTTTAACTGCTTAATTACAGCGCCCCAAGGCCAGCTGCCAGCCGACTTGGGCCTCATTATTATCTATTAAGCAGTCAGGAGCGGGTAGCGAAAAGTTTGCCCCAACCTGACAAACTGACAAACAGACAAACGGACAAACGGACACTGACTCTCTAATGACATTGCCCGAGCAGGCAGCCATAAATATGCATATGAGATGAGCTCGAGGAGTTCGAGTCGTAGTCGTAGTCGTAGTCTGGTCTGGAGTCGGGCCTGCAATTACAATGTCCACATATAGACAGGCAGGATTGTGCGGGCCTAGGTGCAGGCCTCCTCTGATATTACCCATGCCTCGGTAATTGTTTCATATATGCACGGCACAGCAGCAACCAGAACAGAACAGAACAGAGCAGAACAGCCTTCGACTGGTGCAATTTCATGGCTGGGATGGGGCCCCATCCACATCATGACCATCATGACCATCGGGCATAATTTACTTAGAACGAATCATGGCCTAGGCTCTAGCATCAGTCCAGTAATAAAACACAGCGTCACGCCAAGGTAGCGCCCTAGACCAATGCCTTGGCTCCCCGTGCAAGCAGCCTTAGCCTTGCGCAACTGCGTCCAATTTGGGTAGCAGCAGCAGCAGAAGGAGCATCAGCAGCAGCAGCAGCAGCTTCGATGTCTACATTGCTACCTTGTCGCCGACATAATCATGTTAAATTACTCGCAAATTCATTTGCTGTGCGGCCCCCGATGCTTCCAGTTGCAGTTGCATTGTTAGGGCGCCTCCTGCCTTCTGCCTGTTGCCTCCTGCCTGTTGCTGTTTTGCCTCTTGCCTGGCGGCTGCTTTCAGCGTTGATGCATGGACATGATACCGGGCTGTGGAGAGGCAGAGGACGTGGGTCTGGGCCTGGGCATGGGCATGGGCATGGGTCGGAAGTCTGTGCTCTCTCTCTCTCTCTCTGTCTGTCTGTGTTGTTGTTTAGCTTGTCGCTCACTCCATATTGATCTACTCGGCATTATGGAAATTATGTGATCAAGGCCATAGAAAATGGAAATTGTTTTGCCCAACAAAAGTCCATTAAAAATTTGCATGCTCCTGCTGCCTAGTGGCTGCTTCGTGGCTGCTTCGTGGCTTCCTTGTGGCTGCTGCCCCGTTCTCGGATCTCGGTTCTCGCTTTTGCCTTTACTGGGAATCGCAATTATAGATCGATTTATTGCTCGTCTGCCCGGGGCATTGTTTTAGCTGCATCTAATTAGAAGCTAGATAAATATAGAAAAGAAAGAAATACTCTTCCCGGTCACACCAAAAACAAACCAAACAGAGTGAGAAACGGCCACGCCACAGGCCACAGGCCACAGAGCCTGATCCGACGCTGCGTCTGGCTCTCGCCTGCAGTTGGAGCTGAAGCTGAAGCTGAAGCTGGAGGTGGAGGTGGGTGTGGTTAAGTTGTCGCCTGTTGCAGCTGCGAATAGCGGTAAAAAACAAAAAACAAAAAGGAAGAAGAGAGAAGTGAGAAGGCAACGACAAACGCATTTGGGGACAACAGACTGGCGAAGATTTGTGTTTATTTAGTAATCTTTGAAATATTTGTGGCATGGCAAATATTTTCCATCGCCTGCGTTTCCGCATCGAGCGGCAGAGTAGAACCCAAGTGGGAGAGAGAGCGAGAGGTGGAGGTGAGGAGAGTAGAAGAAAGTAATGCTGCCAAGGAGTATACTTTTTTTTGGGGGGGGGAAAACTTCCACTGGCGAGTCCACCCACAGCACTAAATAATAAAGCGTAACCAGCAAAAGGCGTGCCTGGGTCTCGGCTTGGCTTGGCTCTGAGCCTGCGACTATGTGACTCTGGTCCAGCCACGGTTACAGCTACAGCACCAAGGCACCAAAGCACCACAGCACCTAGGCCTACTTATGCAAGTAAAGCTGCCAGTGCCAGTGCCAGTGCTTGTGGCTTGTATTTTATGGTTTGTGTACACATTTTTGCACACATGCGCGACGGGTCATTCAACTTCAACTTGCCGCAGTCGCAGCGACTCAGACCAAGCAGCCAGCCATGGCCATGGCAATGGAGTACGATCAGGGGGGGGGGCGAATGCGCGCGCGCTTTCCTAGAATAAACAAAATGCACGACTCGAGCGGGAGCGGTAGCGGGAGCAACAGCAAAGAGTAAGAGCAAAACCGAGCTACAGCCAACAGCCAACAGCAGAACTTGGCTTTAACTTGGGCTTCGACCGCTGCTGCTGCTGCTGCTGCTGCCGCTGCCGCTGCCTCTGCTGCCCAAGTGTACTACACGATGCAGAGCCGGGCAAGTTGTAGCTGGATCCACATCAACACCAGCCACAACAACAACAAGACAAGAGCGACTTTGGCTGACTAACTGACTGACTGACTTCTGTTTGTTGGACCGACACGACCATGTTTGATGTGTACCACCACCATCATCATCATCATCATCATCCACGACAGCAGCAAGAGCAGAGCAACAGCAGCAACAGCAACAACAGCAGCAGCAGCATTAAGAGTAACAACAACAGCAACAACAGCTCATGCGTCGCCCCGATCATCATCATCATCATCATAATAATCGTAATGATGATGTTGTTTGTGGCTTGTTTTAGTTGTTGCACTTGCACAGGCACAGGCACAAAAATTGTTGCATAAGTTTGCATTACAAGGCGGTCCCGTCCCAGTCCCAGTCGCAGTCCCAGTCCCGGCAACTGGGGAGTTGTCGTCGTCGTGCGCGAGTCTAGCTCTGGCTCTGGCTCTGGGTCTGGGTTTGTGTCTCGGACTGCGAACCGTCCGCATGATTGACTCCCATTGCCAACTCTGCAGCCAAATTCTTCACACTGCCTTCCACAGGCTTGAGTTCAGTTCAGTCAAGTGGAGGCTCTCCTCTCCTCTCGGCTGCGGCTCCGCCTCTGACTCGCATCCATCTCCATCTCCACCTGCTGCTGCGCCGACAATCCTTAACAGTTAATGTGTGAATTTTTATGCGTTGCCAGGTTCGGTCGTGTGGTTGTTCTTACCGCATAAAATGTAATTTACATCCGTTAGTTGCAAGAAAGAGACAGGGGAGAGAGAGAGAGAGAGAGGGGGAGGGGGAGATGGAGACGTCGTTCGTTGGCCACGAATTGAAATTGCTACTCTGATTTGCTGCTGACCAGTTCTATGGCCTGCCTGCACTCTGACTGTGGGCCTGGACCTGGACCTGCACCTGGACCTGCACCAAATTCTAACATGCTTATGAGCACTTGCCGTTAGAATTTTCATTGTTGCTTCGCCTGCAATTTTTTGCCAAATTGTATGGGCCAGACGTTCATTTAAATGTGCATCCCGCAAGTCATCCGCCTAGGGGGCCCCCCCAGGCACACAAGTATGCGGAAATTCAAATTCGAATGTGAAATATGCGCAAAATTGTCAACCCTTCAACTGGACGCAATTAATCAAAGCCGCAAAGCTGCCAAGCCGCCAGCAGCAGCAGCAATTCATAAAAATGCAATTTGTCAAATCATTTCTGCCCGTGCGCCAAGCCGTCCTTTTGTTGCATGTTGCTGGCTGCTGGCTGCTGGCATGTGGCTCATAGACGCCACCGCAGCAACAAGTGGAAGCCTGAACCTCGTAGAACAGCAGCAGCACTCGCCTTGCTGGCCAACTGTCAGCTTAAACAATTTGTTTGAGCCATTTTACCAGGGGGCCAGACCAAGTCCCAGTGTGGGACACACGCAGGCAGCTCAGGCCTCGGCTCAGAATCGACTACGTGCCATTTTTTTCTGGCTTACTGGTTGGCTGGCTGGATGATGTTGCTGCCCTGCCCTGCCCGCCTGCATTTTGATTATGTGGTAATAACACGTTGCACGCACACAAAGCCAAACTGTTTGCTGCTGATGCTGCTGCTGCTGCTGTTGCAATTTGGCTGGCCAGCGGCACTTGGTTGGTTCCCTGTTATCAGGACGGACACGGCCTATCAACAGAAGTGGCGGAGTGCTGGAGTGGTGGAGTGGTGGGCCTACGCAGCTCCACTCCGCAGCCATGTCCGGGGCCTAATTTCAATTGCATGCAGCCACAATTAGAGGCCCGCCATTCGAGGCATTCGGCTGCAATAGATAAATTAATTTATTATGGTCATGGCTAACGGATATGGCCATCATAAAGACTGTGCCGTAATCGCGGCAAATGTAACTATGGCATTTCATTAAATAATAAACATTTCTTTTCGCATTCCTCATTCCAGCTCCACTGCAGGAATACACGGAGATCCAGCAGTACTCGGGTAAGTCTCTCGTCTCTGTTCCCCTGATTAGCTCCCAACCATTCCAAGCGGCAGCTGTGGCAGGCCACATTTTTGATCCACTGCCACCAGCATAATACTCGTAAAAAGTGCATCCCAGCATCCTAGCATCCTAGCATCCCAGCATCCCAGCATCTAGATTCGTTTTATGATGATTACGCTGTGGCATAATAATGAAGAGTATCAGATTGCTGCGAGCCATAAATGCCTGGGGCCAGATTTACGGCACGCCGCGAGTTTAATTTGTTTTCCATGTGAACGCAACGACAAGGAACTTACAAAGGGTGTTCATGGGCCCCCAACCCCAATCTGAGTATTTGTTTCATTTAATTAAATAATATGCCATGCTGCGTACGTACATATGACAGGTGGCATCTCTCCCCTGCGGCTCCCATCAAAGGGTTTTGCCCCACCTTAATGGATAATTAACTCCATGGGTCTGCTCCAAAAAGGCATAAGCTAAGCCGCTGATCGCTAATCGGTGGCAAGTGATCGAATCGAAGCAACCTGATCGCTGTCATAAAGCCAGCATTATTAACCAGTTAGATGAGGTGTGAAACGACACATACGAAAACAAATTGAAGCATAAAGAAATACTCGTAAGCGCCGCCTTTTTACGAGTGTTATGTTGGCGACGTGAGCGTCAGCGAGACTGCGCCAGAGACCCCAAAGATTTCAATCAACAAAAAATGGTCTAGGCCCCCCTGCTCAACGCTGAGCTCGGAGTAGCTCGGCTCTGAGGCGGGGTACGGGCACGCGGGCACGCGGGTCTGGCGCGCTTAACGTGTTAATGATGTGATGTTGAATTTATTGCGGGTGGACGTCACTAAATTAGGCAGCCAGTCAGGCACAGACAGCGGACAACCGGCGACGGACAGCGGACAGCGAACAGCGGACAGCGAACAGCGGACAGCGGACATTGGGACTGTGACAGACGTGCGCATATTTTAAGACACGACACCGCACCGCACCGCATCGCACCGCTGGCACTTGACTTTTGTTTAACGACGCTGATGAGCAATAAAAATTGTCTATGGCTGCACGTATTATGACAGCTGGCTGGCTGGCTGGCGCTAAGCCTTATTTATGGCCCTGGCGACACAGTGGCATACATTGTCCCGGCCCCACTCCCACTGCAACTGGAGCTGGGAGCTGGGAGCTTGATTTGGCCTGCATGCATGCATAACTAATGGCTGGAATTTATTAGCCAGTGAACCGGGGTGGGGGGGGGGTGGCATCATGGGGAGAGGCATTGTTTGGGCGGCTGCTGCTGTTCCCAGGCAGCGCTCCAGATCCGAGCAGCAGTAATGGTAATGTGAGCCTCTCTCTCTCTCTCTCTCTTTGTTGGTCTGCTTGCAGAGGGCTGCTACTACAACTATGCGCACTACAACGAGGGCGATCGCATCATGACCAATGAGCCGTGTCTGAACTGCACCTGCCACAACCGCATGCTGATGTGCTACCTGCGCGTCTGCCCCTTCACCAAGCCCATTGGCCACGATTGCATTGTGGAGAAGCGGGAGGATCAGTGCTGTCCCATCATCACCTGTCCAGAGGGTGAGTCCCAGCACCGAGCCCGGTAGCCCAGCATTTGTACTAACCCCCTAACCCCCCTAAACAGTTCCTGTGGATGTGCCCTACCACACACCCGAGCCGGGCACCGAGCTGAGCATCCCGGAGAAGTTCGGCTGCAGCATCGAGGAGAAGTTCTACCCGGAGGGCGCCCAGGTGCCCTCGAATCCCAACAGGCCCTGCGAGCTGTGCTACTGCATCAACAACCAGACCAAGTGCGTCATGCAGGAGTGCACCCTCCACGTGGACGGCTGCCTGCCCATCTACAACAAGGGATCCTGCTGCCCCGTGCGCTACAGTTGCGGTAAGTGGCACGCACTGGCCCTGGCCTGTGCCTGTGCCTCCCACTCCCACTAAACACATTCCCATCCCCCTCTTGCAGATCACGAGAACGAGCTGGACTTTATTGAGACGTCCACCACCAGCACGACGACCACGGAGCGTCCCACCACCGGCTTCATCCTGCCCACCACCATGACGCCATCGGAGTCGACCGACTGCATCTTCAACGACGACATCTACGCGGACGGCGCCTCGATCAGGGGCAAGGATGCCTGCGAGCACTGCTACTGCATGCGCGGCCACATGGTCTGCGCCGTGCAGGACTGCAAGATGCCGATGATGGCGGCCAACGGCACCTCCTGCCGGGCCATGCCAGCCGCCGAGGGCGAGTGCTGTCCCAACAACTACATTTGCGAGGATGACAGCGCCACCACGGAGATTGTGGAGCTGGAGCTCACCACGCCGGAGACCTCAACCTCCGCGCCCGCCAAGGACATCCATGGCGAGATCCCCAAGGAGGATGTGGATCTGCAGGAGCACATTGACGACGAGGAAAAGGACCAGGACAAGGAGGCGGCGGCGGCGGCCACTGAGATTCCAGCACTGGAGGATGGCAGCGGCGAAGTTGACGACGAGGAGACGACCACAGTTGCCCCAGTGCGGGCCACGCCCGAGAGCTCCACCGCCGGCATTGCGTCCGACTCCAGGATCGATCTGTCGTCCAGCTCGACTGAGGCAGCCACCGGCGCCTCATCCACCGAAAGCGCCACCGAGGCCAGCGGCGAAGTGGAGCAGGAGGAGCAGGAGGACATCGTTAAGATTGTCACCACGCCAGAGCCCGAGGGAAGCGGCGAGGAGGATGTTTCGAAGCCCACGAAGCCCGTCGAGCAGGACAGCACCCAGGAGGAGGAGGAGGAGGAGGAGGAGATCGTTAGGGTCACCTCTCCGGCGCCAGCCAAGGCCAGTCCCGAGGCAGAGATCGGCAAGGTCACCACCTCGGCTCCGACCGCCGCCGATGCAGATGTCACTGCTGCCCCTGCCGAGGGATCGAGCGACGAACAGGAAGAGGCCAAGCCCACACCCGCTGAGGAGGGCAGCGGCGAGCAGGAGGAAGCCAAGCCAACCCCAGCTCCCGAGGAAGGCACTCAAACGGAGGAAGCCAAGCCAACAGCTGCTCCTGAGGGAGGTGCCAAGAAGGATGACGCCAAGCCAACAAGCTCAGAAGATGAGGAGGCCAAGCCCACAGCTGCTCCAGCGGAAAGCGCAGAAGAAGATGAAGAGGCGAAGGCCACGCCAGCTCCAGAGGGAAGCGGCGAGGAAGAGGAGATCAAACCCACACCCTCTGCAGCAGGAAGCGGTGAAGAAGAGGAAGCCAAGCCAACATCTGCTCCAGCAGGAAGCTCTGAGGATGAGGAAGCCAAGCCAACATCTGCTCCAGCAGACAGCACAGAAGAAGAGGAAGAGGTCAAGCCCACACCCGCTCCAGCAGGAAGCTCTGAGGAAGAGGAAGCCAAGCCCACACCCGCAGTGGTGGAGGGTGAAGATGCTGAACCTGCCAAGCCCACCGAATCCACGGAAGAGGCAAGCGGCGAGGGAGAAGAGGAGATCGTTAAGGGAACCACGCCATCGGAGGAGGAGATTGCCAAGGCGACAACTCCCGCTCCTCTGGGTGAGGGTGAGAAGGACATTGACAATGCCGCTGCCACTGCCACACCTGCCGAGCCCACAAGCAGTGAAGGCGTTGAGGACATTGCCCAGCCCACAACTCCGTCCGCGGATACCTCCGCCGAGGGAGAAGTTAGCCAGGCCACGACCCCAGCCGACAAAACATCCGCCGAGGAGGAGACTGCCGGACCAACCACTCCAGCCAAGGAGGTCAGTGCCAGTGCGGAGGAGGAGGAGGAGGAGATTGTCAAGCAGACCACACCCAAGTCCGACCAGATCGATGACTCAACTGAGCTGACAGCAGAACAGGACGAGGAGCCAGTCACGGAGACAGCAGAAGAAGGCTCCACAGCTGCCACCCCGATCGCCTCATCCACCGAAGCAGTCCAGGCTGCGTCCGAAAAGGACGCCGAACCTGCCACTGGCACATCCACCAGTGCACCCGCACCCGCACCCGCTGGCGAGCAGGACGAGACTGCCACCATTCTGCCCACTGCCGAGAGCGACGAGAAGGTCACCGAAGGTGCTGTGGACGCATCCACAGACAGTCCGGCCGAAGATGTCTTCAAGACCGGCACAGCCAAGCCAGTGTCCGCCGAGAAGCCTGTCGGAGAATCATCCACGGAAGCGGAGGAGGCCGACATCGAGGGATCGACCAGCACGCCACTTGACGAGCAGCAGCAGCCGGAAGAGACCACAGACAAGGCTCAGGACGAGCAGGAGCAGGAGGAGACAAGCACCGATGCAGCGCCAGCCAAGTCCGACGTTGTGCCACCCATCCTCGACGTCCAGCCACAAACCACAAGCCTTCCAGTGGAAGCCGGAGAGGTGTCCACGGACAAGCCGACCTCAGCCTACCTGCCGCCTGTCGGAGAGAAGGACTCCACCGAGGTGCCAAGTGCAGAAGAGAAGGACTCCACAGAGCTACCAAGTGCCGAAGATGCCACAGAGACGGCCATCAAGCAGGAGCCATCGAAACCAGAAGATTCCACGACCACTCCGCTGCCCGAAGAGGTACAGTCCAGCAGCGTCTCGCCCAGTGCAGAGCAGCCAACCACAGTGCCAGCTGTCAGCCGCGACGACTTCGCAGCGGAGCAGACCACCGTGGCGCCCGGTGCCGAAGATCAGAGCTCGTCAGAGCCACTGCCCGACATGGACCTGCCCGCTGCCATTCCCGGAGAGGGCGACTGCCTGGTGGAGGGCAAGACGTATGCCAACAACACCGTTGTGCCCGCGACCGCGCCCTGCGACGTGTCCTGCCAGTGCATCAGCAGCCTGGTGTCCTGCCAGCAAATGGAGTGCAAGGAGCCCGCGAACCGCGAGAAGTGCGTGCTCTCCTCCGAGCTGCACGCTGGCTGCTGCCCAACTTACATTTGCGACGAGAGCGAGGAGAAGGACACGACTGCCAAGCCTCTGGACAGGATCGACGAGGACGCCAGCACCGAGGAAATACCCAAGGATGTCATCATGCCCACTGGCATCACCGAGCAGCCACTGTCCCACGTCAAGCCCGATGAGGAGGTGCCACAGGTGTCGCCCACTCAGCCGGAGGAGGAGGTTGAGTCCTCCACAGCCAATGCAGCAGAGGAGCCAGCCACAGCCACGCCCGAAATCGAGGAAGATCAACACAAACAGAAGCCCCTGGACAAGGAACCCGAGCCCAAGCCCACGCCCACGGATGCAGAGCAGAAGGAGCCACAAGGAGAAGCTGAGACTGTCCCAGCCACAGAGCAGCCGACCACGGCTGAGGCCACCAAGAAGCCGTCTCCAGAAGAGGCCACAACCCCGCCTCAGTTTGCAGATGACAGCCAAAAGGAGACAGGCGATGAATCGACAGCCACAACCACAGCTCCCATCACGACTGAGGAGGAGAAGCCAATTGATGAGAAGAAACACACTGAATCGGAAGAGAAACCCACAGAATCTGAGGAGAAACCCACAGAATCCGAAGAGTCTCCCATTCTTGGAGCTAAGCCGCCAGTTACCGATGGCGATGCTGAAGCAGGAACCCCAGCCACCACTGCTATATCCGAGGAAGAGTCCACAGAGTCCTCCACTGAAGTGCACGCGCCAGAATCTGAGGAGTCGTCGACTCAGACGCCAAAGACCGACAAGATTCCCGAGCCATCCACGAGCTCAACCGTTGAGCAGGAAATCGAAGACTTGGACAGATTCACAACAGTTGCACCAACGCAGGTGTCCGATGAAAAGGAACCCTCCACTTCCGCCGAAGATAGTTCGGATGATGATGATGCCCTGCCAGCCACGACTGAGCGATCGCCGATTGCCGGAGACGATGACAAAAAGGCACCACCATTGCCCACCAGAGCACCAGCAGCCAGCCAGCCAGAGACGCAGCCTGCCGATGCGGAGTCGACCACAGAGGCAGAAATCGCCAAGGAGCCAGGCAAGGAGCCAGCCAGGGATGATGTGGCAACCACTGAACCAAGTTCTGAGGGCGAGAAGGACACCTCGGATGAGTCACCGATCGCGACAGTCTCCGGCCAGGGAATCGAGAGCGAGGCCACTACCACTCCAGCTCCTGCTGCTGCTGCTGAGTCTTCTTCGGATGAAGATCAGACCCCAGAAAGCACAGAAAAGACGCTGCTTGGAGCCGAGCCAGAAGAGGAGACTGCCACAGCTGCCCCGTCAATTGGAGACACTTCTGACGAAGCGGCGACCGCCACTACTGACATTCCGTCCAAGGACGAAAGTGAACAGAAACCGTCTGCTGAGATCGAGCCTGAATCTGATCGTACCACCACTCCTGCACCCCCTGCTGCTGCTGCTGCTGCTGCTGGCGATAAGGACGAGTCCGCTGAGCAATCGACGGCAACTCCCGCCACTGACGAACGCAAGGAATCTGCCGAAGTTGATGTGGCTGCCACAACAGCTGCTGCGCCTTCTGATGAAAAGACGCCCGCAGTGGGCGTTACTCCCGCGCCTGAGCACGCGGATGAGACACCAGATGCAACTGCTGCTCCTGTCTCTGACGAAGATCGCACTGAGCAACCCGCTGACGAAAAGGCACCACTGCCCGCAGGCGAAGATGTAGAGAAGGAGTCGGCCACTGAAGCCTCCACTGCCAGCCCCTCAGCTGCCACATCGCCAGCAACCGAAGAAGAATTCGAAGATGACAGTGTAACCACCGCTAAGACGCCATCCCAGGAGGCCGAGGAGAAGCCGGAAGGCCCGACAACGTCTACGGAGGAAGAGGAGGATACCTCTGCTGCTGCTGCCACAACAACAACAACAGCAGCACCTTCTGCCGCCGAGGAGACGCCCGAAGTGCCAAAACTGCCCCAGGAAACGCCAGAGGATGTCCTGCCATCATCCACTGAGCCATCCACAGAGCTGGAGCGTGAAACGACTGCTGCTCCCAGCCTGGACGATAAGGAACCGGCCGTCACCTCGGTGCCAACTGCTGATATTGATTCGGATATCACCACCATTGGCCCCGTCTCCAAGGCGGATGCGAAGCCAACCGAGGAAGAGAAGCCAATCGATGAGCAGAAGCCAATCGATGAGCAGAAGCCAATCGATGAGCAGAAGCCAATCGATGAGCAGAAGCCAACCGATGAGCAGAAGCCAATCGATGAGCAGAAGCCAACAGAGCAGGAGCAGTCCACTGAGCAGCCAACGAAGCTGCCAACGCCCGAGGATAAGATTGGAGGCCAGCCCGAAGATAAAATCCCTGCCACAACTGCCGCTCCTAAAGAGGAATCCACCGAAGCCAGTGACGAAGTCGTTCCATCCACCGAGTCCCAGGCTGCTGAGCAGCCCGAAGACAAGCAGCCCTCATCGACTGCCCAGGCACCAGTGGAAGAGACACCCGAAACGTCAACTGAACTGCCATCTGAGTCTGATGCTGATGCTGACACAGTCACCAGCGCTGCTCCCGCCGCTGAAGAGGATGCTTCAGTCCCAACCGACGAGAAGAAGCCCTCCACTTCCGCGGAGGATGAGGAAAGCACCGAAGCCGCCATTGGTATCACTGCCAGCTCTCCAGCAGCTGCCGAAGGCGTCGATACGAAGAAGCTGCATGCAGCCACAACTCCATCGCCAGCCACGGAACAGGAGCCCGTCACAGATGCCGAGACGGAGAAACCGGCCAAGGACGGGGATAGCGACGCATCAACCGAAGTGCCGCAGCTGGGCGATGAAGATGTCCCATCGGCCACCTCTGTCCCATCTGCTGAGGACATCGAAAAGGAGGAGGAGGACAAGTCCGAGTCCACCACTGTTGCCCCCGTCAAGGAGCAAGATGAAGAGCTCACGCCCAGCGCTACTCCAGCCACTGGCATCAAGGAAACATCCGAGAAGGAGCCCTCTGTGGAGTCCACAACTGTGGCCCCCACCAAGGAGTCCGATGAAGACCTCACGCCCAGCGCTACTCCAGCCACAGACGGCAAGGAACCAACCGAGAAGGAGCCCTCTGCGGACTCTACCAGTGTGGCCCCCACCAAGGAGTCCGATGAAGACCTCACGCCCAGCGCTACTCCAGCCACAGACGGCCAGGAACCAACCGAAAAGGAGCCCTCTGTGGATGAACAGGAAGTGGAGTCCAGCACAAAGCCGCCCACCGATGCGTCCGACGAACAGCCAACCGATGAGACAGCTGCCGCGACATCCGCGCCCTCTGTGGACGAATCTGAGCAACCAACGACCACAGCAGCCACGTCCGTCAAGGCAGAGGCCAGCACACCAGAGGATGAGCTCGACGTCACCACCGTTGCCAGCCCAGCTGTGTCCGACGCTAAGCATGACGACACCAAGGATACGACAGCCAGCACTGTGTCGCCACCTACCGACGAGAAGGAGGAGACTGGCACCGCCCAGGACGATGCCAAGACACCCATTGATATCTCCACAGCATCGCCCACTTCCGAGGCAGAGCAGGAGCAGCCGGAGGCGCCACTTGATTCCTCAACTGCTGCGCCAGCCGTGCCTGAAACTGATGCTACTACTGCTGCTGCTCCAGTCGATGTGCCCTCTGCCGAGGAGATCGACACGAAGCCCATGGAAGATGTCATGTCGCAGACAGCCTCTCCGGCTGCCGAGGATGACAGCAGTCCAGTCACAGTCGCCCCTGTGGATCACGAAGTGGAGTCCAGCAGCGAGCCTCCTGTCTCGGAAGATGTGGGAGAGGAAAGTACCGAGCCAGCTGCTGGCGCTGCTGAGGAGACCACAGATCAGTCTCCAGCTGATGCCAAACTGAAGCCACCCACTGCCGCTCCGGCTGCAGCCACAGAGGAAACCCCAGCGGAAGCCGCCGTCACGGAGGCTGATATTGTGCCCGAGACAGCAGCACCCGAGCTGGAGCTGGAGAAGGACAAGGAAGTGCCCGAGAAGTCCACAGAACTGCCGCCATCGGACAGGACCACTGCAGCTCCAGCTGTCAAGCCAAGCTTGGACTCCGCTGAGGAGGGCGACGAGTCGGTTGAATCCGAGGAGGATCATGCCCCAGTCACAGAGGTGCCCGCGAAGGAGGACGAGGACAAGGAGTCGGAGGAGACGGGCGAAGAGGCAGACAAGAAGCCCGAAACCGAGGAGCCCGAAACTGATGCTGAAGTGCCCGCAGTGGTCTCAGAGCTGCCACAGAGCACGACCACGCCTGCTGCCCAGGACGAGACATCGGCCGAGACCTCCGCCAGCGAGGAAGCTGCCACGGAGCAAGCAGATCTCGCCACACTCATTACCACAATGCACCCACTCTTCGCGCACCTGCCCAGCTCCACCAAGAGTCCCGTCATCGACGATCGCGTGGGCGAGGAAGAGTAACCGAGGCAACCGAGGCCACCGAGGCCTCCTCCACGGCCAAGCAGAGCACTGAGGCACCAAGCAGCACCACCGCCAGCGCCACATCGTCCACGACAGCAGCCAGTCCCATCACACACCCGCCCTACGGACACGCGCCCGAGTACGAGGACGAGTACGACGACGAGGATGTGTTCGGTCCTGGCACCTGTCGCTACGCAGGCAAACTTTACGTTTCAGCCCAGCAAATTCCACGTGACGATCCCTGCGACTTCTGCTTCTGCTTCAGGAGCGACATCATCTGTCTGCAGCAGTCGTGCCCGCCACCGATTGCCGGCTGCCACGAGGAGCCCATCTCCGGCTTCTGCTGCCCGCGCTACGAGTGTCCCGTCTCCATGGCCGCCGTGCTCAACATAACGACGAGCACAACCACCACCAGCACACCTCTGCCCCCGGTAATAACAGCCATGGCCCACAGCGACTCTGTGAGCAATATGGGTTGCCTCATGGACAACCGCACGTACAAGGTTGGCCAGATGATCGAGTCGAAGAGCGGTCCATGCATGCGCTGCACGTGAGTATAACAGAGCTCTAGCTGCTCCCTGAATTGGTTCTAATTCCCAATATTCTATGCCACCATTCCAGTTGCGGCGGCGATGGCAAGATGCAGTGCAATCCACAGCAGTGCATTCCCGGCCCAACTATGCAGCAAATAATGGCCACCACTGCGGCGGGCCGCAAGAGATGAACCACCAACAGCCATGCTCACTAAATATAATTTTAACTAATGTTTAAGCACTGCAGACAAACAATCACATCACAAACAGACGAACCAACCGACCCAGATTGCACCCAAATAGCAATAGAACCAGAACCAGAACCAGTACCAGGCTTACAACCGAATGAGAATCAGAATCAGAATCAGAACCTTATCAGAACGTATGTATACCTAGGTGCCAAAACTAATGGAGGATCAGTATCAGTATCAGATCGGATCGATCAGATCAGATCAGATATGCAATAGGAATATAGTAACTTTGGTTCGCCGGATATTCGCACTCTTTCAATTGAATTACGCCAATTTGTTTCGGATTAGGTTATGGTGACGAAGCAAACAGTGATATTGTACTGTATACATAGTATAGGTGCAATTAATTTAGAACGCGCTCACTTAAAACGAATTACTTATGTATTTTGTATTTGTATTTTGTATTTTGTATTTGTATTTGTAACCCCCGCCCTAGTGACAGCAGCCTATAAAGTAGCAAAAACCAACGTCGCGCGTGCCTTGTAAAGTCGTTCATTGTGCCCGCCGCCATATACAAATCGCTTTCAGGAGACTCTCAAACACAAAGCAAAAGCAAAAGCAGAACCAACACCCCCAATCAGATAGCAGCACCCCCACCCACCCAGATACGAGTACTGTACTTCTGGCGCTTTCCAGCACCACACACAATCAATGGCGTTACGAAGAGACCAGACCAGGACCCACGGCATTTGGCTACTGAACAACCGTTTCTTTTTGTTTGTTTATTTAACAATGAATAGCAATATTGTCACACCACACACACACACACTTCTCTTCAATGCGCTTTTATAGTATTTTAGTCACTTTATTTTAAACATTATTATTTTTTTGTGTATAATTGTTGCTTCTAGTCTTCTTTTGTTGCAAGAACAACGAAATCCGCCTGTAACACGCGCACAATGAGATCAAATCAGATGATCAGATCAGTTGAATTGAATTGAGAAATTGAGAAATTGAGAAATCTTCTATGAACTATTCCAAGCTTTTATACTTTTATATACAATACGTGTAAAATGGAGAAACGAACGAACTAGTTTTTATAGCAATTTTTACAAAGCGAACCACGAATTGCATAGTTTTAACGGATTGAAATCAATTTTTGTACTTTGCTTCAATGCATTTGCTTGCGATTTGTGGACCCGGCCAGTAACAATTTTAGTCTACATAGAATTTTTTAGATCAACTGAAGACGGAAACTAAAATATGGAAACGAACAAACTGTCGGCTATCGCTATTGCTCGACTGACTGAAAATCAAACAAAAAAAAAAAAAACAAAAACATTAATGTAGCAGTTAACTTTGTAAACTATTTTTTTAAACTATCAGCATGCCGCGCTGATACTTACAAATTGGTCGTCATCGTCGTCGTCGTAGTAGAATAGTAGAACAACAAATTTGAATTTTCAGTCACTTGAGCTCTAGAAATACGCTGTGAAACCCAATAGCGTTCGAATAACGCTGAATAATCACGAACATCAATTAGATTTATATAATCTCTAAATATAGTTGTAGTCGTAAGTATTTAATTTTAAAAATAAATAAATAAATTTTAATTTAGATCTTATTTATTTGATATGTCTTTTAAGAACAGCTCTTGTGTTTCCATACCTTATCATAATTTATATGCAAGCTTTTCTTTGTAATCTAATAAATAAATACAACGCTTTTTATTGAAATGTACAATATACTGTTTAATTTAAATCAAGAAATCAGTAGGACCAGTAGGCCAACTAGATAGTAATATTAAACTGAATATCAGTGAAAAAGAGTTCTCAAAACTAAAGCCAATCCTAAACCAAATTCATTTAGGAATTGGATAAAATTATTTTCTTAGGACTGAGAGGGCTAACTATCAAGTAATATTAAACTGAATATTAAAATTGACGAATTTCATATCACAAAATATCATGGTATGGCAGCCCGCAGCAACTACGAATTGCTCGAGTCTGGCAACGCCACAATACGACGTCACATTTCTTTTATGTTTTTTTTGTTTGAACCTTAATATTTGAAATATATGTGAGGTTCCAGTCACACTGGACATCACCGAAAAAACAAATCAAATAAAATATTTATTTTTCAATATCTTAAGATAATTTTCAAAATGACCGCCAACCTCCATTTAGGGTACCAAAATATCGTAATACGCGTTATTCGCTCTCAATTCGTTTGGTGGGTTTTCAAAATTTGTATGGGAAAAATTTCAGCAACATTGGGAAATGAATTAGCAGCATTGTTGTGCAACTTTGGCACGGAATGAGCAACAATCTGCATACCTTAGGAAAATGGATATTATGGACTTGAGATATTGTTTGTAATTTCAGGCTCCAATTAATGCAGAAACTACTCAGAGTCTGTTTTCAAGATATTAACGAAATTTTCCAGCTCACGGGTTCCAATAATAGGTATCAGAACCGGGCTAAATGTATATATAATAAACAAAACATATGCATTAATAGGTAAAAAACATCTCAATCTAAGAAAAATACAATATTACTGTTTTAAAGCAGCTTGGAACAACAAATTTAACAGAAATTAAAGGAAATAGGGTATACAAAAGTCAATACGCAGAGAAGATACTTGGTTGACCAGCAACACTGATGTCCCATTTAGTCAACATTTTCGTTTTATGCTTTGGCCGTTCTTGTTTGAACCTTATTATGGAAAAAATGCAATAAACAGGAGTTTTATAAACTAGCTAATCTTGTAGAAAATGGATGTATCTATCGAATGAAATTACTTGCTTAGGGCTGAGTGGGCTAACTAGCTAGTAATATTAAACCGAATATCAAAATTATGCAATACGATTTCAATCAATAAAATCGAACGTTAACCCATTGTCGACCAGAGGGGTATTTAATATTTCCACGAAATTTATATAACTTTAACATATTTTACGCATTACAGGTGAAATTATTGTTCATATGTTCATGTTCATGTTCATGTTCATGTTCATGTTCATATTGTTTTTTAAGTAAAGAGGAGGATGGAGCTACAAGGATCCTAAATAAAAAGTATTATATTCCGCGGTTTAATAAAGTGTGCTCGACTTTTTAAATAAAGAGGTGTTAAGGGGGTTAAGTCTCGTTTGATCGCCGCCCTGGTTTTCCGCCCTGGCTATGGAAATACAAATTTAAGTCTAGTACTCAGATCGAAAAAAACACCTAGCGAACAGAATCAGGGCTGATATTCGTTTTACGGCAAAAAGTGTTTTCTAGGCTCTGTAAGGAAGGCAGTACTCAGATCAACAAAAAAAAAGGTCGGTATATACTGGAAAAGTATTAGAAGTATTTGCTTGTTTTTTTGGTATGTTTCGAGCAACCTCGAAAAAGATATAAGTTTGATATCTTTTGCCAGCAAACACGAAGCAAACATTGCAATTAGAGAACAAAAAACCAAATGAAATATTTAAATAATGAAGACAAATAGAATCTAATTAATGCAGCATTATATAAAGGACAATTTTATGTATATTATAATATTATATTTTTATTAATTTTCATAAATATAAAACAAATATTGCTTTCAAAACAGTTTGTCTTCACGGTGGTCGGCACGGGAGGCGTCGCCATCTGCTGCTGCTGATAGTCAGACACATTACCTTGCCAATAAAATATTGGGGAGCCCAGGATATGCCTGGGAAAGAACAGTCCCAGCCGAAGAAGTGCATTTTGTTAACTTTAAACAAAACCAAGCAGCGGTATGAGCAGTGTAACCGTTCGGAATGCAGTGCACACCTCTGGTCACACCACTGGTCGCTCGAAAAATATATGACATCTGTTTGCTAGCAAACAGTTTTTCGTTCTGAGTACTAGGCTTCATCGTCGTGCGACCATCAAATTTCGCGGCAGCGATTAAATACCAAAAAAAAAAAAAATAGTACAATTCGATTCGAACTTTGGAGTGAAGATGGATGTTGATATTGGGCTTATCGCTGCTTCTGGCGGCACCGGCAAAGGCCAGGGATTTGAATCGTACTTTTTGCAAAAGATTTCCGAGCTTCAGTTTACCGTTGCCGAAAAGAACGCCAATTTGCGACGCCTTCAGGCCCAGCGAAACGAGCTCAATGCAAAGGGTGAGTAGTCCAGTTCTAAGGTATGTTTCCTAGTACAGACACTGATTCCTGATCCTCCACGATAGTGCGCCTTCTGCGCGAGGAACTGCAGCTGCTGCAGGAGCAGGGCAGCTACGTGGCCGAGGTGGTGAAGCCAATGGACAAGAACAAGGTGCTGGTGAAGGTGCACCCTGAGGGCAAGTACGTGGTGGATGTGGACAAGAACATCAACATCAAGGACGTGGTGCCCAGCTGCCGCGTGGCGCTGCGCAACGAAAGCTACACTCTGCACAAGATCCTGCCGAGCAAGGTGGATCCGCTGGTGTCGCTGATGCTGGTCGAGAAGGTTCCAGACTCCACTTACGAGATGGTCGGGGGCCTGGACAAGCAGATTAAGGAGATCAAGGAGGTGATCGAGTTGCCCATCAAGCATCCAGAGCTCTTTGACGCCCTCGGCATCGCGCAGCCCAAGGGCGTGCTTCTGTACGGGCCTCCCGGCACCGGAAAGACCCTGCTGGCACGCGCCGTGGCCCACCACACCGAGTGCACCTTCATACGCGTCTCCGGATCGGAGCTGGTGCAGAAGTTCATCGGCGAGGGATCGCGCATGGTGCGTGAGCTGTTCGTGATGGCGCGCGAGCACGCTCCGTCTATTATCTTCATGGACGAGATCGACTCGATTGGCTCGGCTCGCCTGGACACCGGCAGGGGCGACTCTGAGGTGCAGCGCACCATGCTGGAGCTGCTAAACCAGCTGGACGGTTTCGAGGCCACCAAGAACATCAAGGTGATCATGGCCACCAATCGCATCGACGTCCTCGATCAGGCTTTGCTTCGTCCCGGCCGCGTCGACCGCAAGATCGAGTTTCCGCCACCCAACGAGGAGGCTCGCCTCGACATCCTCAAGATCCACTCGCGCAAGATGAACCTAACCCGTGGCATTAACCTGCGCAAGATTGCCGAGCTGATGTCAGGCGCCTCCGGGGCTGAGGTCAAGGGCGTCTGCACCGAGGCCGGAATGTATGCTCTTCGCGAGCGCCGCGTGCACGTCACCCAGGAAGACTTTGAGATGGCCGTCTCCAAGGTGATGCAAAAGGACACGGAGAAGAACATGTCCGTCAAGAAGTTCTGGAAGTAATTCAGCCTGTAGTCCGAATATTATACTAGTTTACCATACCACATAATAACACATAATAAATACTTTGGAGAGAGAAATGCCTAGGTATATTTCCTCAGGTATCGGTAACTTCATTTAATGGAAGCACAGGATATCCATTAATTAATTAATTAGTCGAATTATTTCGCCTTGAGCCGGAATTCCGTTACAGGTATTCAAACGTACCGGTCAAACGGTGGCATGGTACGTGCGTGCCGTGTCACGTTAACCATCACCATCAGCCGCCAGCTGATTACCAGAGCCAGAAAAAAGAAGAAAAATATTTTTTAGCTTTTGCCTATGGATTGGACACAGTTTTTAGCTTGACAGGATACAACAATTAGCTAATTCCAATGGTTAATATATCCACTATAAATTGGGTTTTTGTTTGCGGCCTGTCCTTCTGCTTGGGCGGCATTGCGGTTCTTAGTTTGATTCCGCTGGGCTCAGGTGAGTAGGTTGAGTAGGCTGACATGGATTCTAAAAATACTGACTGGCGTCGCTCCTTTTTTTTATAGACTGCATATGCCCGCTGTCAAATCCATTGGCGAAACTTGTGGGAAGTGGACCAGTGAAGAAATTAGCGCCTGTGACACCCGCACCCAAGGGACAGGAGCATGACCACAGCGCGGCGGCACACAAGATGGCTGTGTTGGTACCGTTCCGGGACCGATTCGAGGAGCTGCTGCAGTTTGTGCCACATATCACCGATTTCCTTCGGCGGCAAGGCGTTGCCCATCATATATTCCTGCTGAACCAAGTGGACAGGTTCCGCTTTAATCGTGCTTCCCTCATAAACGTGGGCTTCCAGTTTTGCCACGAGGTCTACGACTATATTGCCATGCACGACGTCGACCTGCTGCCCCGCAACGACGATCTTCTCTACGAATATCCCAGCAGCGTGGGACCTCTGCACATTGCCGGACCAAAGCTGCACCCGAAATACCACTACGACAACTTTGTGGGCGGCATTTTGCTGGTGCGCCGCGAACACTTTCAGAAAATGAACGGCATGTCGAATCAATATTGGGGCTGGGGCCTGGAGGACGATGAGTTCTTCGTACGCATCCGGGATGCGGGACTGCAGGTCACGCGACCACAAAACATTAAGACTGGCGTCAACGACACATTTGGGTAGGCAGAAACACCCACCCAATCCGTTCGCAAAGTCACTAGACGTTTTTTTTATCTCCACAGCCATATTCACAATCGCCATCATCGCAAGCGGGACACTCAAAAGTGCTTCAATCAGAAGGAGATGACCCGCAAGCGGGACCACAAAACTGGTCTCGACAACGTCAAGTACAAAATACTCAAGGTGCAGGGACTGACAATCGACGGGATCGACATAACCGTCTTGAACATTATGCTTGAATGTGATGTAAATAAAACTCCATGGTGCGACTGCTCGGGAACGGCAGCGGCCGCATCGGTTGTACAAACCTAGAAACGTACTCAATCGCTTGCACTATTGTATTGCCTAGTCAAATCTTATGTTTATTTTCGCTATATGCTTTGTAAATGCGCCAAGTTAATACACATGAACCATGCCATACAAGAATGTCCAGAAGAGCACATAGGTGCAAAGGCCGCCCATGAATTGGTTGGTCAGCAGGTTGCTGCGACTAATGAAGTACTTGCGCCACTGTGTGCCCGACTTCAGCAGCACCATGAGCCACAGGACAAACACCGACAGGAAGTAGAAGAGGAATCCCAGCGTTGCGCTCAAGCCCAAGATTCCTACAAATAAGAGTGCATTCATTAATGGTCTGGGGCACATTTATAAATTAGTGTCAATTACCAGCAGCGCAGCCCGAGATGGCTGCCATCGAAGTCCGGCAGTATTCGACGGCAGATATGTTGTTGCGAATTGCTCCTTCGCTGTAGGCAACTATTTCGCCCGTCTTGGACTGGGTGGTCTTTACTCTATTCATTTTATTTATTAATTATTTTCCGGAAAAATTAAAATATCCAGCTGAATTTCGGCTTTGAGATGGCATAAGTATTATTATCGATAGTTCTACTCAAAATGTCGTGGCACTGCTCACAATTGCGCCCATCTTCCATTCGCGTGTTCGCGCGGCTTGTTGTTATTGTGTTTGGGCTAAAGTTGGACGGACAAATTAAAAGAATTATGTGGTGATAACGAATGCTAGTGATTTCTGCGTGCTATAGGGCCACTATGTGCAATCAATAAATTTAATGTAGATCATAATATGTTAACAAGCAGCGTCAGTTGTAGCTGTTGACGAATTTCCAAGTGCTGCGCAAGCTTCGTACCAACAAGGTCCAGCGCCAGGCCACAACAAAAGCTGAAGCAATTAAAAAAATCAATCAGAATTCTAATTGAAAGCTGTGACATGTCACCGCCAAAAAACTGTGCCGTGTGCGGCGACAAGGCCCTTGGCTACAACTTCAACGCCGTAACTTGCGAGAGCTGCAAGGCATTCTTTCGCCGGAACGCTTTGGCCAAGAAATCGTTCACCTGTCCATTTAACCAGAATTGTGACATCACAGTGGTAACGAGGCGCTTCTGCCAAAAGTGCCGCCTGAAAAAATGCCTGGACATTGGCATGAAGAGCGAGAACATCATGTCCGAGGAGGACAAGCTTATCAAGCGGCGCAAGATCGAGAACAATCGCGCCAAACGCCGCCTGATGGAGCATGCCGGCGGGGACGGTGCCTCGGATCCCGATGATAGCAAGGCTCAAGCTGACAGCAGCAGCAACCTGGAGTTGTACTCCGGATCGCAGGACTCGCAGAGCTGCGGGTCGGCGGAGAGCGGCGCCAATGGCTGCGTGGCTGGACGATCGTCGAGCGAAATAAACCCGCTTCTGATGACGGCCGATAAAATCGTTGAACAGATTGTCTCCGACCCGGATCGTGCATCGCAGGCCATCAACAAATTGATGCGCACCCAGAAGGAGGCCATCTCGGTAATGGAGAAGGTCATTGGCTCACAAAAGGATGCCCTCCGACTGGTCTCCCATTTAATTGACTATCCAGGTTGGTGGACTTGCCTCGCCATACATATATCGCTCAATCCAGTCTATACCCGTGCATATCTTTCCAGGCGATGCGCTCAAGATTATAAGTAAATTTATGAACTCGCCGTTCAACGCTTTGACAGTATTCACGAAATTCATGAGTTCCCCCACGGACGGGGTTGAGATTATCTCCAAGATTGTTGACTCGCCATCAGACGTAGTGGAGTTCATGCAGAACCTGATGCATTCGCCGGAGGATGCCATCGACATCATGAATAAGTTCATGAACACCCCAGCGGAGGCTCTCCGAATCGTCAATCGGATCTTGAGTGGCGGCACAAACAGTGCCCAACAAACAGACCGCAAGCCATTGCTGGACAAGGCTAGCGGCGGACAGGAGTCAGAACGGAACGGAAAGCCAGCCAGTGAACGATTGGATACGGTTATACAGTCCATGCTGGGGAGCGGGAGCCCCTCGCCAATCAACACCAGCGCCAGCTCGCCCCACGACGTTGCCGTCGACTTGCAGTACCATTCGCCCAGTTCCAACCAAATGGGAAGTGAGCAGCCCAGCACATCGAGCAGCCATCCATTGCCCGACATTGCCAATTCGCCTGACTTTGACCTGAAGACCTTCATGCAAACCAACTACAATGACGAGCCCAGTCTGGACAGTGATTTCAGCATCAATTCGATTGAGTCTGTGCTGTCGGAGGTCATTCGGATCGAGTATCAGGCATTCAACAGCATTCAGGCAGCGTCGCGGATAAAGGAGGAGATGTCCCACATGGGTGGTCAGTCCTCCTACAGTGGCTGTAATGCGAACACAAACCACAACCAGCAGCAGAATCTGCCCCAGCAGCCAATTTGCGCTCCCTCGAGCATGCACATGGACCGCGAACTGAACGAAGCTGAGCAAATGAAGCTGCGCGAACTGCGCTTGGCCAGCGAAGCTCTCTACGATCCCGTAGACGAGGATCTAAGTGCCCTGATGATGGGCGACGATCGCATTAAGGTGACCACCAGAACCAGCACCAGCACTACCACCAACACCACCACCACCACCACAGTCATTAGCACCACCAAGCACCCTTTCATTATTTTAGTTATAACTCTTAACAGCGCCCGGCTTATCTAATCGTGCAGTGCCAGAGGCGATATATATTCAGCACCTGGCATAGACCACATAGCCGTGAGTCAGTGCGTATCGCATTGACATGTCACTTCCGAGCTGTTTCTGTGTGCCCAGCAAAGCGCTCCTCCAAAATGTAAACACAACTTTGAATAATCTCGCCATAAAAGTGAGGTATCCCGCGCTCTCTCTCTCTCTCAGTCTGGGATGTCTACGCCCGTCGAGCAAGACCCAATCAGACAGTGACATTATCAGGCTCGGGCAGTGCCAAAACGATGGCATTATCACCCATTATCAACAGCGGCAGCAGGCGCTCATGAGCCTCCAGCTGACGATTGGTTGGCCGTTTATTCAACTGTTTGCCGCTGGTGCTTCATCGCAATTAGCACATTTCATTATTGTTAATTAGGGAATACGATACATTTTCTTCGAAATGTGGAGCACGCAGGTGTTTGGCTCTGTGATAAGCAATGCCGCACTATTCGATTGAGTCACCTTTCATAGACAAACCCTAATGTTTTGTGCGATAATAATGGCCACCTGTGCGTTATATTTTATTGTTCAACCCCAGCCCGACGACACACGCCATAATCCGAAGCTGTTGCAACTGATCAATCTGACGGCCGTGGCCATTAAGCGTCTAATCAAGATGGCCAAGAAGATAAGTGCATTCCGTGACATGTGCCAGGAGGACCAGGTGGCCCTGCTCAAAGGCGGCTGCACCGAAATGATGATAATGCGTTCGGCGATGATCTATGACGACGATCGCAATGCGTGGAAAGTAAGGCATACCATTCTTTAAGGCAATACTTGGTTTACTACGAATATACATTTGTTTTTCCAGGTGCCACACACCAAAGAAAATATGGGCAACATTCGGACTGAACTACTGAAGTTTGCCGAAGGCAATATTTATGAGGAGCATCAGAAATTTATTACCACCTTTGACGAGAAATGGCGCATGGATGAGAACATAATTTTGATAATGTGTGCCATTGTCCTCTTCACTTCAGCTCGATCCCGAGTGATACACAAAGACGTGATTAGATTGGAACAGGTTAGTACTCATTTGGGTTATTGCATATCTGATTGGATAGCTATAAATGTTGTTCGTTTTACTTTTTCAGAATTCCTACTACTATCTTCTGCGAAGATATTTGGAGAGTGTTTACACTGGCTGTGAGGCGAAAAATGCGTTTATCAAGCTAATCCAAAAGATTTCAGATGTGGAGCGTCTGAACAAATTCATTATAAATGTATATTTAAATGTTAACCCATCCCAGGTAGAACCTTTACTGCGTGAAATATTTGATTTGAAAAATCACTAAAACGATTTGCAACGGGCATCAAATGCCTTTGTCCTGTTATAATGGAGAATCAGCGAGCTGTAGTTGTTGTTGTTTTAATCGTAATGTGCGTCGCTCACTGATTTTTGTTTTATCTGTCGCTTATAATGTTAGATTTTAGTCGAATGTGATTGTTAGATTTGCAAATACTATATAGATTTTATATTTCTACATCAAAGAGAGCATATTTAGGATACAAGTGCAAAGCAACACAATCTAAATGTAATGTACACCGTTTAATTAGTTTCAAATAAACTAAACTCAGATGCAAACTCACAAATGGTCCATTAATGGTACATGAAATACAATTAATTACATTTTAAATCGTGTAAATTTACGTAATTGTTTAGCTTGAATATCTGAGACGGATTTTTGTGATAGCCTAGCAGCATCTTTGGCAAAGGAGTTGGCACGATCTGGTATCTGGCCGATCAACTATATTCACATACATATATCGATGCATAAAGCAGCAGGTTTGTTTTTTGGAGATTGATGCGAAGGTGTAATTTATACTTTTAAGTCTGATTATTCAGCAAAAATGATTCTTCTTTACGTTACATTTTTCTCCTTGTTCCCACCAACTCCGTCACTAAGCCTGGAAAATTATTGTCTTCATTCTGGCTGTAACAAATGAAACTTTTACCCTCTTTAAAGGTACGTATTACTAGACTCTATGGCCGCACGTGCTTAATTACCACTTGAAATAAAATTAAACTGTCTAGAGAGTTATGTATGTATTGAACTTAGTGTATAGAAAAACAATTTAGTAACAAAAAATCAACAAAAACAAACACAATAAATAAATAACTAGTCGTTGGCCTAATATGACTATATCCGATTATTACGGATAAGAAGTTTACCATCTTCTGTGAAGTCCAAGCAATATTCGTTTAATACCAGGCGTAAGCGTCTTAAAATGATCTGCTGGTCCAGAACCAATTTGACACCATACGAAATAAACCCCACAAGAACCACCAGGTAAAGGAAAAATACTTCTGGGCTGCGTACGATCATCATTGGTTGAGAACTATCATGGCTGGGGTTTACCAACAAGTAGAATGCACCAATTACGCTGCAGACAATTCCGCCGACAATGATAATAGCCCAGGACTGTGCACGTAGTTTCTGGCTAGCAACTATTTCTCCCATGCGACGCTCAAAGGACTTCAGATCCTCAAAGGATTGATTTTCCATTGTGGAATGCAAATCTGTAGGATGTACATGTTTAGTTATTGATTATTGTAGTTTTTATAATATGTACTCAATCTCAAATGAAAATATGTATTTTGTCACTACGTATAGTTTTTTGATTCATTATTTCCTATGGCAGTGATATTGTGATCCGATTTGAACCAAATCTGGGTGTAAAAACTTCAAGTTTCATCTATAGTGTTTTGGAGATTCGATAAATCAACTGTATAGTTGTATCTCTCTCTAAACATATGCTTTCTCCGTCTTTCAGTAAAGTCTATTTGAAACACGCCATTTGATTTGATTGGGTTTGACAGCAGGTGCAACCCTGCATTGAACAGCTGTAAGGCCAGTCACATGTGTAGATCCGGGCTCTGAATTGATTCCACTCTGCTGCTCGTATCAGGGAGAACGGCTTTGCCCGGCTCTGTGGAATAGGCGGGATAAAAACTATACCCAACGAACTGATAAGAAATGAAAATCGATTGCACAAAAATTGCGCACAACAGGTAAGTTTTAAGCAAATATCATATCGGTATTTTTGTGCGATAAATTTAACTTATCGGCGTGCGGTTTCAGGACAGCTTTCGTGCCGGACTCGATGCGAGCCTTTCCCCGCCGGAGCTACCTTCGCCGGATAGCCCGAACAAGGCCACGCGACGCAGCATACAAAAGCGAACAAGTCTCAGTCGACGACTCCTGTTAATAGAAGCGAAACTGCGTCGTAGAAAGGCGGAACAATTTCGTGCCAAGCGAAGAGAAAAAGTGTTTGCATTTTCATCTGCAACAAAGATTGTATTCCAAAGACTTGTGCAACAAATTGAACCAAAGGCGAAAACCGAAGGACCTGTCGCAGGGTTTTTGTGTGTGTGTTAAAAGCGAGTCAGAAACAGTTTTACAGTTGGAAAGTTTCCAGCCCCAGCTGCGTAGTAGCCCAGAAAAACACACGCGCTAACCGTTAATTAGCTTTCCCCCTCACCGCTGAATCTTTAATTCGAGGACAGTCCGGGGACCTGCTGCTAATTAAGCCTGGGACTTACCAACAACACAGCAGCGGAAGAGGGAAGCTGGAGGATGCATTACCTGGCAAAGGTAGCCGCAAGGAGGTGCCACAACTCGTAAATATTTGAAGGTAGGCGACCCTGCCCTGTCAGCAAGTCTATACAATTTATGGCAGACTACCGTCCCTGCCAGACGCACTAAGATTCGCCCTTGGCGTAAGCTCCCCCAGCTTTCTCCGCATTTGGAAATTTTAATTTTTGTATATATGTTGCCACTCGAAGGCGGCAACGGTTGCCGCATGAAAGTTGCGAGCACAGCACTCGAAAGTTTCTGCACAGTAGAGTTTTTTTAATGATGCACTAAACGATCAACTCGAAACCCGAGAGGTGTTCATATACTTATAGCTAGGCTTATGATTACGGGAAAATTGAGTTCTAGTTTGAATCCGTTCTTCGGTTTTGAATTTGGGAGATGACGGGAACATGCAAGTGGTGGTTGAGTACAGGCAGGAGTACAACTCAAGTACTCGTAGAGTGTCAAATCTGAAAATAGCTAAATTGAATCAAGGTTTGGTCTGAAAAAGCGTATCAATTGAGTTACAGGATTAGTTGCACTTATCACAGCATTTACTTGCTTCATCCGAATCGATCTTGAAGCCGTTTTGTCTGGTTTTTCTTTTGAAACGATGCGGAACATGAAACTGTTGGTGATCTTCCAGGTGATTTCTTATACCCTGTTGGTAGAATCAAATCCCGATTGCGTTGGCAACCCCATTGGCACGGGAGATTGTAGAAGGATGACCGTCGTTTACTACTACGTCAGTGGGACGAACCGATGTGAAAGGACCAAATTAAGATGCATCGTATTTGGTTCAAATAACTATCGGACGATTGAACTTTGTGAGAGAGTCTGCAAGAAACGGATTACTCTTCATGAACTAGACCTGGGCTCAATTCTAAAAGTTGGAACGATTAATTAATTTATTTGAAATTTACGATCAATCATTGATTACACATTTAAATAAATAATTAATCATTTTCTTGCAGTGATTCACGGCTATGCTTTAGGCACTAAAAATCTTAGAATATTCGTAGATAAATACATCTTTATATGCATATGTATATGTACATATACTAGTATGTAGGTAGTATTTTTAGTATTCTTTTCATTATTATTTTATTTTTGTTGTGTACTCGTTTTGTTTCAGGCTCTGCTTGGCTTGTCACCAGCGTCTTTAGGTCGACGGGCACTCATAAATATTTCAACTTGTCACAGCGCACATGTATGAGTACTTTTATCCACGGTTCGTTCTCGTAGAGTACCAGGGTATATTGTGTTCAATGAAATGTATGCAACATACAGAGGCAAGCAATCGATTTTGTTTTTAATTTGTGCAATATTTCATTCCCTTTTAGAATACTCTTTCACACTTGGAAATACTTGGAAACTTTCTCATGGGGAGATAGTTTTTGACTATGTTATGGTGGCTTACAACGGCTGTTGTAAATCCTTTGAAAACTGTAGGTAATTTTTATGATACATATAATTACAGAAGCGCATATACTAGGAGCTGCAAATGCCTGCACTGAGTAATGGGTATCAGATTGTCGAGGGCCTCGCCTTAGCCCAATCTCTGGTTTTTAGTGTATGCATTTTGAACGTGTGTGAACAGCCGCAACTTGTTAGCGTGTGTGCCACAGCAATAGTGCAAGTATAGCCCAAGCAGTCATCAGCAGTGAGACCCTCTTGGTCACAACGTTTCCGCTTTGCTTTCTGTGACAGCCAGGGGCTCCATCAGGCTGGGCTCTCGCCCTTTCCCCGCCTTGGTCCCTCTTTCTTAGCCCGAGAGCTGTCGCTTTGTTGGTATAATTTTAATTACCACTTGAGCGACTTATGCGCCGTGAGTCGGTGAATGAATGCGAGTATGAGTGGCTCCTAGTGGCTGTGGCTTAGTCGACACACATACCTACAGTGTGCACTATATACTAAGCCCACACACAAGTATATACTATATACTATATTCGTACTCGTATGTATATGTACATTGTGCAACCCATAAGAACGAATAGCAAAAACCACGCACTGACAATGCGCAATATTCTCCTGAAAACCCGCATTGTTTAGTTCTATTGTATGGGACTTTTGCATTGGGTTTTTTTTCGTATTCAGGAAACCTCAAAGCAAAGCCCCAACCAAGGAAATATTGCGTATGCGTCACATAAGCCGGCCTGTCAGAGGTGTTCCATATACTCGTACGGTAGCTGTAATGTATCATAATTGCTTATTTGCCGCTCCATTGGCCATCTAAACCGCATTCAGTTCGGCGCTGGATGAATAGATACCATCCAGCAATCTAGCCATCCGCCTCTGAATATCGATTGTAATTCATATAAAGGCAATGACCACAACAAACCGCTTATTACCCCAGTCCGTGGCAGGTGCACGGTGGTTCTTTTGGTGGGTGGTGTGGTGGCATATCCAACTTTTCATAGACAACTTATTGGTCCGGCCAGAGAGTCTTACTGGAGAACTCTTGCATGTAAAGTTTTTGCCTTCTTTTTTGTAAATTTCCATGCCCTGAAACAATGATATATGATGGTGGGTGAACCGCAAAGTAATGCAGCTTTAAATTGCTCTCATTTTGACAGAATACGCTTTTCGTTTCAGCGTGCCTTAAAGTTTCCCTAACCCGGAAGACCCTTATGCGTAGTTCAAGAAGTTCTTTCTTAAATAGTCGTAAAAGTTTTCATTTCATTTCAATATGGTGCAATTTCATGAGATTTTGCCGGCAAAAGAAACTCAAAGTGTTCTTGCAGAGAAAGTTTTACAAAAATTGAAAATATTCATAGACATTTTTTTGGGTTTGCTCGCATCATTTCCATTTCATTTCGATGTACGGAAAAATTCAGGAAGTTAAATGGTGAAACTTTCAATAAAAAGCGAAATAGTTATAGCATGACGATAGATATCGCGGTACTTTTTAAACAGCTCGAATTCTATTCTGTACATAAATATGTACATATATGTGGACATACATATATGTATTGCCTTGTAGGACCCTTCTGGGAAAACTGTTCAATGGCCAACGCTTGGCAGCCGCTCAAAGTGCAGAAAACGTAATTGCAGCAGAGGCAGTAACAGCTAACGATAACAACAGTTTGGGCGATCATTATAATTTGGCAATTTGGCCGCAATTCCATCTCTCCGTTCCAAGTCTACGGAAGGTGCCGAAACGTAAGCCACGGACACGAGTATAAATCAAAACGAAATGTTATTACAGTTTGAAAAGTCGTTTCGTTGCACCTAATCATAAATTCGCTTTTTATTGACAAAAATTGCATTCTCGCTAACTCATTGTCGGTGTGCCAGTGGAGCATTGTTCATGGCACTTTCTGGTAAATCATTGATTAAATTGGAAAACTCATTAACGGCTCGTGTCCGTGTCCGTGTCCGTGTCCTGGCTAAATTTTGGCTGAATAGCCAATGGCAAGAACCTTCGGCCTTAGACTGCTTCCCCTGTTCCTTTGACTAGTTGTTGGCAACCGGAGAGTGCCAGGCCAGGCCAGGCCAGGCAGGACTGCCATCGGCCGAACAGTTACATATTGCATGTTGTTTGGGCCTAAATAAGCCCCAGCCGGGCGGCAATTTGGCAAACGTTCGAGCCTGGGATTCGTATCGCCGTCGCTTTTAAGTGTTTCTTATAAATTATTCGCTACATTTTCCAACTGGACAGCCGAATTGCAGTAACTGTAATGACTTTTTATGCAATTTTACTGCACTGTGGACGCCATCTGACCCCATCACATACACACACATATGTACTAGACGTCCCCAACTACACGTAAATACAAATACATATCATACATACATATATGTATGTCTATATGTACATATAACTTTCCGGTTCGCTGACTTTAAATTTGGTTCGTTCTGTAAGGGTTGCTCGCTGGGTTGCCTTCTGCTTGGGGGAGGAGGTGAGTGGCCAGCAATGGAAATTCAATTTCCCCGCAGACATTTTAATTATGCAAATGTAAATGTTTACGCCACGCAGCAAACCACTGCTCAAGATCGACCAGATTCAATGGAATATGTGGCTCCTTTTCCGGTGCAAAAAGAACTCCAACGAATATACAGACAGATGTTGAGTAAGTTGCTGCGAAAGCTTTCTTGCTGTTGAGGCAAAACAATAAAATTAGTTATCTGTTTTGCTAAAACTTTTCATCTCCTCGAACTTCATGTACTAGAAGTTTTTTGAAAATTAGTTATTCCCCCAAGTTCTAAATGAGCTCGTCCAAACATGTATCTCAGGGGAAAACAACCACAAAACTAAAACTGTCATGAGAACCGTAGCACATGGTGCGAAAATCAAAAGTTCTTCCCTTTAAAAAGCTTTCTCTGTGAATCGCAACCGAGGAGCAACATGTTCGGCATGATTTTGCCAACTTGTTAATGCACCAGTGTACCAGTTACTCGAACAACCACAGATAATATATATATGTATATAGAAAAGTGAAAAGTTTTGGATAGACTTCTTGTGACGGCTGGTCGACTAGCCGGCACAGACATGTCTGACATTTAAAAATGGCAGAAACGTGAAAGAGGATCAACCGAAAAGCAAACAAATCGCAGACAATTGAGTGACTGACGTGTTGTTTATAAAGACAGGCCCAGAAAGAGACCAAAAGGCAGACAGAATGACATTGGGAAAAGAGTGAAAGACAGCCCCAGACACAGACATAGACGCAGACACAGACACAGACGAGGAACGAAGCAATTAGGATTCAATGCATTGGATGGGGTATAAAATACAATTAAGTGCCATTTGGAACGGATACAGTACGGAAGGGCGCACAGTAAACAAGCAATTACAGCAACGTCAGTTATGACTTCAGCACGTCGACAGATATGCCATTATTGATATTGATTTTGCAGTCCGAACCGGCACCACACTCGGATCCCAGACCAAAGTCAGTTAAGTAAATCATTCGCTTGTCGAGTGGTAAAGCAAATTTATTGGTTTTAATGATGGGCCACGAGTCCTTGAGAGTGTGCGGCAAGAGTCTCGGCACAGCGTACAGAGTACTCCCCACTCTACCCACAGGCACACATAACTTTCAATTATTGAATGGAGCAGACACACAGATACAGCTGACAGCAGTGAGTATGAGAGTGTGGCTGCAGTGGCAAACATTCGTTGCATACCTCCAGGCGTGGCGCATGTCGCGCGCCAATTAAACGGGCAGCAAACAACGCCAGCAATTTTGTACATTTCCACTTCTCACACATGCCACACAGAGCGGCGCCCACAGTCATGCAAATATGTTCGCGTGCCGAGCAGCCTTATTCAACTAGTTGAGCAAAGAAGCCCCTAAGGGGGTTCCCATCCCATCTGCCCCATCCCCCCACAGACCACATCATTTGATTTCGCTTTTTGCGCCAGTCTGGCTAAATTTATCTTAGCGGTTAGCTCGCCTAGTGCCCGTCCCCGGCCCAGAAGGCGAGTGTCTGCGCTGATCTGAAAGTAGTGAAATTAGCATTTGACATTTAACATTTAACAAAGACCTGGGCACAGTCTTTGTGGCAGCTTATTGCACGAAGGTCGAAGGTGAGGCAATCCAATTAGGGATAAGCATCGAGACTCGAAGCATTTGCTGCAGTCATCAATTCCCCAATCAAGATACAAATATCTAAACTTTAATTCTGGTTCTTTTTCAGACCATCACATGAGAATGCTTAAATAAAGATTATATACATTCGATAATATATATATATAGATAATATTCAACGATCGATCATGTCAAATGTGAGTAGCAGTCATTACCTAACGTCCCATGACTGTCATTTGCGAATTGGTTGCATCACTAACTGTCATAACTGTCCCTCTTGTTTAGCATCTCTACATGGACAAATCGAATGGCAATGGCGTCTATGCGGTCAAGCCCAACAGCAGCCACACGGACAACGATAATGGCATAATGGGAGCAGGTGTTGCCCCAACCACAACCTCAACAGCAGCAGTGGCAGCAGCTGGCGGGGTGGCAGCAGGCGGCCCCACAACGATGGCCACAGTAAATAACATAAACATAATGAACGGAGCCGCCGCCGCTGCAGCTGCATCAGCGTCCACTCTGCCAACGTCCGCTTCCAGCGAGGACCTCAGCCAGAGCCTGTCCGAGTACACAGATGCGGATGAGAGCATATCCGCCCCCACAGAGTTTCTCGCCGAGGTAAGAAATGGCTGAAAGCATATACAGCACGGGAAATCGCTCCTATATATTATCAGCATATCTTTGAATTGAAAGAGATTTTTTCAAGACAAAGGCCACTTCAATCTGATCAAGAATATGTGTAGAAAAGTACCCCAAAAGAACCCTCTACCTTTAATTACGTTTAACGAACGTTAGTCAAAGCGGATTGACCTCTACAGAACACCTCGAAAGGGTATTCCCTATAGCCTTGACTACCTTGACTATCTGATTATCTGAGTGTGGCACACTTCTGGCCCTTGGCAAGGCGCACAAAGACGCATCAGAACTTATGCAAATGCAAATTGCTGCACTGCCATCAGAGATTGGGGATTTAATTTTAAGTCCTTTCAGGAGGATTACGCGACCGAGCAGAGCACCCTCCTGCACTGCATTCCAACGTATTGATTGCTAATAAATTGCTTTCAAGCGCATTCAACTTTTAGAAGAGTCAACTTTTTTTATCCTCCGCTCCCGACGATGTGGGCCAGTGGAACAGGGCAGGCAGGCGGGCAGCAGCAGCCATTGTTGTTCGAGATGCTATGAGAATTTCAAAAGGGATTTGATGGCATTCGCTATATTGTTTGATATTTAAATATATATTGTGCGTTGTTTCTCCTGCAGTTTCTGTCCGCCGTCATGCTCAAGGACTACAAAAAGGCATTGAAATATTGCAAATTGAGTGAGTACAGAAAAGGCATTTGTGGATTGCACTTATGATATACTTTTCCGCTTTTCCAACTGCTATCTCCAGTTCTCCAATACGAGCCCAACAACGGCACGGCAAAGGAGTTCTATCCGCTCATCCTGGACAAGCTGCGGGGAGGTGAGTGAACAGCCGTTGCCGCGTAAATAGTCAATTTATACTCGCTCCTATTCTGCAGTGGCCACATCCAGCGACAGCGACGAGAACTACAATAAATCTTCATCACCCGAACTGGCCCTGGACTTGCATGAATCTGATGCTGAATGTGATGGCGATGGCGACAGGAGTGACAGCAGCAACAACTGCTCCGAGGAGGACAATGGCTGGGGTGACGATGAGATTGACAATGTGGATGTGGAGGGCGAGGAGGAGAGCAGCAGCAGTGGCGATGATTATGAGCTGCCGATCGATGAGCAACAGGATCTAGCTGCTGTCGATGGCCTGGCCGTGCCGCACTCCCACTCCCACTCTCATTCCCATAGCCACAATGACTCGGGCTCCTCGCGCAACTCGTCGAGCGGCGGGGGCGGTCGCAGCGATAACACCACGCACTCCTACTCGAGTTTGCTGCTGGAGGAGGAGGACGACATTGTGCCAGTCTGTCTCAGCTTTGGCCTCAAGGACACCACGGTCACAGATCTGGATGTCAGCAATGGTGAGTGGCCGCAGGTGCATCGTAAATCGGGATTTAACAATCCCCTGCTCTGCATTCCAGGCAACAAGGTGCCCTCCGCATCGTGCAGCGACTCGGAGTCACCCACAGAACCACTGACACAGCGACTGGCGGCCATACTCCGGTCCAAATGCGGTGTATCCTCCGGCGGCAACGAAGACCCCTACTGAGGGAACCCCGCGATCGATAGATCAAACTATATACTTCATACACATACACTGAGCAACACTCGAAGGTTTTCGAATGGAACCAAAGATTGGAGATGGGTCTGATTCGGTTGCACAGTGCTATCTATATTCTTGTATACTCCAACCCTTTGCCCCGCTAGTCCCACCACTAGTGTGACCGCTTAACGAACCTAGAAACCGTCCCTAACTGCATACACACTCGTATATTGTATCTTGTATCTTGTAACTCCAACTGCAATGTTTTCTCTTCAAACACGATTGATTCTATTCTCCCTAGGACAAACATATCGTACAAACTCAAAAAACGTACTTATATACATTAATACTTATATATATATTATATACTATTATATTATATAAACTTTATATGTTTAGCCCTAGACATAGTTACAGCTCGACTAGCAGCTACAGAGCCCCCAAATAAAGATATACTCGATATCATAAGATGCATATACATACATATATACATATGTAGGTGACTATACACACAGATACGGAACGCGATATACACATACATATACGTACATACATACATATATATACATATATAATAATATATTTTAGTAAGACACCCATTCAGAACGCACAGGACATGGAATGCTTTACATACAATTCGCATTTGATAGAGATCGATTTTTTCGCTCCAGACATAGAGACACAGATCTCTGACGGAGGGCAAGCTGAGAAGCTAAGGATAAGTCTGATAAGAGATGCACTATGAAACAGCGAACAGAGAACGAACGAATGTAGAACTAAAACTGAAATGGTCCAAAAGTCAAAAAAAAAAAACTACGTAGATGATTGTACATAAATTACATACATACGCGTCGCGTACAAATATTTTCTATTTTCTGCAAATTAAGCCAGTCTATATACTCCACAGTCTATATTCGTTCGATTCGATTCGGTTCGATAAGTTGATGCGGGATGTAACTCTAAAAACTCCCCCCCACATTAATGCGTACTCAAAACCCCTAGGATTCTTACACAATAATTATAAATCATCCGTATATGTGGTGGTGGTATGTGGTATGTAGCTCAAGGCTAAGTTTTTCCTAAATGTATTGTTGAATTATATAACCCAAATGGTCTGTATTTACTACTATGTACATGTATACTCGTATTGGAAGAAAATTGTAATAAAAAAAGGAACGAAAGCTGGAACATGTCGTTTGCGTTTTCATTGTAAAAAAACCCTCATGGTGGGGCAAGGGGTTTTTTCATTATCAAACATTTGCTTATTTATTTGAAATCCATTATTATCAAAGATCTTTTTATTATTCATATAAATTTATCATTAACATGACTTGCAATCCTTTCGTATATAATTTTTTTTTTTTACTCATAGGTTTTTATAAAACTTTTGCAGATGATATTCGAAAAATGGGTTGTTTTAAAAACATTTTCATTATTTTTTGTTCAATTGTTTATGGATTTATGAAGTGCATACATGATAATACTTACAAAAATTTCTATTGGCTTTCTGTCATTGTATTTTGTATAATTTTATAAAAATTTCTCTGCAACTCGATTGAAAATGGTCTATGTACTCGGTATGTTCTCGGTATTTCCACCATGTAGCAGCATTCTGATATGTAACAAACTACTTTGATTAAATATACTGACTCTCTGAATACTGTTTCTTATTATTGTAAATATCATGGCTAATATGTTTCATGATCTTCCAGCACCAATAGGCAAATTATACAAACTAAATGCAGCATAACAAAATTCGATCTATTATTAAGATTAATTGGCTTTTGTTTTGTTTTGTTTTTGCATAATAAACTATTTTGTTGTTGTAAGTTGCTCAAAAAAATCAGGTAATGAAGCTTTGTTTCGATTTGTTTCGTGTGTTGTGTTTTGTATGTAGTTCAATCTTACTTGAATAAAGAAATATTTCCGTATACGGTTAGCCATTGATAATAACTGACGCTGAGCAAACCGAATTTCAAAGGAAATCATTCAACGCTTCCAAACAATATACAGAATATAAATAGATCAAGATACATGCGTCGTCCCTGCGTCCTATGGTAACATGGTAAGACTTGCTTTCGTTTTAACAATATTTAACATACTTACTCGTCGCCCAAGGGCCTCTTCCGTTTACTTATTTTACAAGTTACAAGTACTGTATTTTCTCTCCTCTAGCGATGTTCGATAAGTCTAGATATACATTCATAATGCTGACATAATGGATGCAGCGTGTGCTTCATTTTATGTCTTAATAAATCCCCTAAGTCTGCGTGTGTTTTTCCATGTGCCTATGCTTTTGAGTGAGTGTGTGTGTGTGTGTGTATATATAGGTATAGATATATATTTAATATATAATGTATATGCGCTTATGTTAGATTCTCGTTAAAAAGAAACTTTCATTTGAAAACTTCAGGTGATGCTTGTACTGTCCAGTAGAATTAAAATACAAATAGATAATTACACATTTCCATGCATAAGTGAGCTCTGAGGGTCGTTGGCACTACGATTCAAATTATACACAAACCATAAAACATAAGCAAATAATAAGCCAAAGAAATCAAAACAAAATCATATGGCAAGGGAGGAGTTAAACGTATTTTTTGTTTATTTAAAATACAACATCAAAAGACACACGCACATCAAAGTCAAACGAGAGTGTGCGGGAAATAAAAACACTAAGACTACATACAGGGTGAAATTTTAACTTAAAAGTTACAGTTTAAAAATATTAATAGAAATTAACATTAAGCCTACCGGTTAGCTACAGCTTGTAAAATAGACGTTCGCTGGTGAACCAATGGTGAAAATAATAAAGAGGCTTGGCGTGACAATAATTTCAACAGTTTGCAGCTGCGCGCACAAATATTACTTTTAAATGATAAACAAAATCTACGTTACGTGTATGTATGCATATATGTATATCTGTTTATATATATATATAAGTGTATGTACGGTTATCAGTCAATGAAGTCAATGTGGGATGAGTTACTAACACATCTATGCAAGTAGCAACGTCTAACGTCTAACGCTCTGCTTTGTTCTGGTTTAGCTTAGTTTTACATATGTATGTCTTAGCTCACTTCTAACGGATGCAAGATCATGGCTGTATGTGGGTGCGAGTGAGTGTGATAATCAGCTGATGACGATGTTACAAAACTAAAAATCTATAAACGAAACATGCTGCCAATTTGCGATCGACTGCGATCGCACTTAATTATCAAACTATCAACTAACGACTGCTGAGCTAAAGGCTTTCGATTGATTGGTTTGGCAAGTCACAGCCCTGCCCTTGGGGCTGTGACTTAGTACCGCTTCTATAAGCAGTTCGTCGACTCCTTGGCGTCATCAATGTTGACGTGATTCTTAATGAGCAGCTGTGTCGAGGGGTATTTGTTTATTTGTGAGAAGCGCTCCATCACACACGACGAGCTGAGACGGGCCTCAGCGTCGTGATCCCAGCACTCCTCCATGGTGTCGCAGAATACACTCAGACCCTAAAGAAAGACCACAGAGTATTATGAATATATTACAGTACAAAAGAACATATCTGAAGCACTCACCGAATGCTCGCGCCACGTGTTGAGCAAACGAGGACGCAGCTTCTTCATCACCACGCTCTCCTGCACCTCGTCCAGGGTGGGACGCTGGCCGAGTTCGGCTTCGAACGGTAGCTGAAACTCGCCCACTGGCCCCACAATGTCGCAACGAGACACCATCTCCCACAAGACTAGGCCACAAGCATAGACATCGATGCGCAGGAAGGCGTCTCTGTTGAAATTGATGGCTCCCTCGAGCACCTCGGGCGCCATGTAGCGGCGCGTGCCCACTTGCCCGTGAGTATCACCGCAGGGCTTGCCGGGCTGGAAGATCATGGCCAGGCCAAAGTCGGCAATGCACGCTGTCAGATCTCCCTTGAGCAGAACGTTCTTGGACTTAAAGTCGCGATGCGCTATGGAGGGTTTCAGGCCATCGGCCTTCGAGGCTGGAATTTCCTCATGTAAATGGGCCAATCCATTGGCCATGGACTCGGCAATGCGGCACAACTCCAGCCAGGTGATGGTGTGCGACTTGAGATAGTCGCAGAGCGAACCGTTGTGCTGATAGGTGGAGATCAGCCAATACTCCGGCTTATCCATGTGCTTCTCCACGCCCAGGAACTCCAGAATGTTGGGGTGACGCATGCGGGGCAGCTTGTAGATTTCATTCTCCGTGGTCCACGACTCCTTCTCCTGCATGCGAAAGATTTTCACGGCTACATCCTGGGCATGCAGTTTTCCTTGCCACACGTCGCCGAATCGACCGCTGGCCTTCTGCTCCAGCAGCTGTATGGGACGATTGCTGAGCAGCGGCGAGGAGTTTGTGATTTCCGCCTCATGCTGCCGAAATACGAATTGGTTTAACAATACAGATCTGGGGTGGCAGCAGGGTGGTTGAAAAACTTACCGTGGGGATCTCATTGAAGTGCGCCTGCTTACGACGGCGATAGAGGAGCAGGCCCATGCCCAGTATGACCATGAGGACGGTAAAGACGGAGGTGCCAACGTAAATATATATTAAATCGCTTCCATCCTGCGTCTTTTCCTTGGGCACTGAAATTGCAAACGAGCAGAGCACGTACATTAAAGAGGGCTTTAAGCGCTTGCCACAGGTGAACAACATCTCAAGTGGCACCCGTAGTTGGGGCAGGAGCAGGAGCAGGGGCCGGGTGCCTATGCCTGTTCCTGCCCCCGATGGGTGTTGCTCAAAGGCAAAACGAGAACCAAAAAACGAAAGTTCGCCCCCAATTTTGCATCTCTTTTTCCCTCATTTCGTTTGAGATAAAAGAGGGCTAAGCCCAAGAACAAAACAACAAAGAGCAGGGCACAAAAGACGCTCCTGCCGAGGCAAAGGCTTGGCCTGCCTTTCCAGCAGCAGCAGCAGCAACACCCCAAAATGAAATGAAAAATAAAAAAATGAAAAGAGCGCACGAACGTGCACGGGAGGGCAGAAATTGCAACACATGCTGCTCCTGGGGTTGCTGGGGCTGCGGCGCCACTTCGCGTCGAGAGTTCGTTAGCACGAAAAACGCTGCCTCGGATGGCAGATGGATGTTTATGTGGATGGGTGGCTAGGGCTAGGGGGCAAAACGCCCCTCGCAACTTGAAGATGCAATAAAAAACAAGTTGCAGAAAATACGAAAATAAAATATACAAAAAATTGAGGTAAACAGAGCAATGACAAATCTGCAAACAGGAACACCGAAGTGGGCCCAAAAACCCACCTTGCGTTGTTGCCTCTGTCGTCGTGGGTATCCACTTCTGGTCGGAGTTGCACAGCGATCCCTTGCAGCAGCAAAAATGCATGTTGCCCTGCCGGGGCTCCGCACTGGTCACGCACTCCGTTTGATTGCATTCGTGCATGTCGGTGAAGCAGCCCTTCATTTTGATTTTCATGGCGCCTGCAGGAACGGTGGGAGAAACAACCACAATCAGAATGCCTGTAAGCGCCTGTCCATCCTCATTTAATTCTCACCCGTCTCCTCGTTGGCGGACCACAGCACATAGCAGCTGGGGAACTTGTCCGTCTCCACCTGGCACCGCTCGATCCGGACGGTGCAGTCCTGCTCCTGATTGCACATCTTCTCGTCATAGTGCTCGCAGTTGATGTTGTGGTGTCCCTCGGGCAGGATGGATCCATGGATGCCATGTGGCATACAGCAGCAGGCTGTTGGGGGCAAAGTAAAAACAAAGATCAAAGTTAATGGAATTATCGGCTAAAAGAACTTGAAAGGCGGATAAATAATGTTTAGCTATACAGTGGAACTGCAGCCCCACAGCCGGAGCTCTTTGTAGGCGCCCTCCTATCCTTTGTACACATATCACATTCGCACACCGTGGACCGACGACCCCATTGAGAGCAACCCCATTTTGGTACGAAATTAGCCCCACTGGCCACACACCAGCAGCCCAGAGCCTTTGAGTGGGCATAACCCCAATGCAGCTACCGTGCCACCAGCTGTATCCGCACGGATATACGCGTGCACAGTGGGACCCACTCTGACAATCCAACGTTTCTATATAAGTTGTGTGTATGTATAAAGTTATATCAGAAAGTCGAGCTCTCAATTATGGCCACATAAAATATTAAAAATTTAATTGTTCACATGTTAAATTAGCACCAGCCAAAACCAGTTTATGCCCCACTGTCCTTTGGGGTAATCGGATCGCTGCCTGTGCACCACATGCACATGCACATATGTATGTATGTATCCATGCTTTATAGTAAAGTAGATACATAAGCAGGCACATTATGCACACAGAAAGGGATGGGTTTAAAGTGGCGCTTGTGGGGAAAAAGGAAACAGCAGCAACAGCAACAGGGAAGAGACCTCAGTGTGGGGGAGAGGAGAGAGAGACTGAGAGATTGAGTGAGTGAGAGAGTTCAGCCCCCGCTCCCTAGCCACTATACAACAAGTTTCAAATGCAACGCAATCCATTCAAAGAAATTCTCTCTCACACACACACACACACATGGCCAGAGTGGAGCAGACGAGGGATTCGATCAATTGATACTCTGTACTGTGAGATATCAAAACATTGCATCGTTATGGCACGAATATACAAATCAATAAAGATAAGATATTAAATGAGGTTTCAGCGGGTAAATAGTTGACAAATTTATTCAATTCAACTTGGAATTGTATTGGTTTTCAATGGTACCGCTAATATACCCCCATGTCCAGGGTATGGCGCCTGTGATATCAAAGTAGTGTTTTGCTAAAGGATTATGGAGCCACGCCACGAGCGAGTAGTAAGCAGCAGCCCCGAATACGTACGTTGTGTGCAAGCAACTACAAAGCACAGTTGGTGCAAGGGAAAATATGGGGGGAAAATGCAAATAATATTGACTGCGACACTCGCAATTAAAGCGCCAATAAGTACCCAAACACACATAAAATCAGAACAAAATATGTACATACCCAGTAAAAGCTGCGCCGTTAGGTAAAGCACTAATTCGTATTTGGACATTGTTAAGCGTTATCGCCCTTTAACTTGTTTACAACACACGGTACGCCACTGTGTATACGTAACTGTAGCATGCGCGCTGGCTCGAGTGATCACTGTGGTTAGGTTTACGGTGAGGATGTTGATATTTTGGCACAGAATTTTCAGGTTGAGGATATTGGCGATTTGATTTTTTTGGTTGGTTGGTTGGCAGGCACTCGAGCACTTCCTCTTTCGATGCACTCTCGGGTCTCGGGACACACACGCCACTATGTATAGAACAGACTATGTTGTATGTATGCTGCTGAGTTCGCAGCAAATTCGCTGACCACACGCTATTTCTATGGGCATTTTTAACGTTCTGCGGCTCTGTCGTCCACTCCAATCAATTACATTTTAGTTAAACACCTTTGAAATGCACTTTGACGCACGTTTGATGCACTTTAAAAGTCTGTGGGCGATTTTTTCGTAAATTTTTTTATCGTGCACGTCTTGTCGCAATGGGGCGGCGATGGGGAAGACACAAGAGCCGATAGATATCGACAGCATACTATAATTCTAAATGGACTTCCCTCTCTACGTCACACACCTTTCAACTTTCGTCAATATATATCGGCTAAAAGAATACAATATTGTTAAAAGCATTTATTTACAGCTGAAAATAGAGCGGCTTAACTAAAGTTGTTCACCTGTTTTAATAGAGCGGGGCTAAGTTCGTTTTTTCCTCGATATATGTGCGATATATTTTGAGAATGAGATATATTTTTGAGATATTTTAATTATAAATCTGCGGTCACACTTCGTCGACAGACAAAGTGCGTAAAAAGATAATTTTTAACAAAAATAACTAATATTTACTAATTAAGTAACAACAAATATGTTGTTTCTGTATAGAGATGCAGAAGTACATCAAAGTCATGTACATCTTTGCGTCTGTATAGATAAAATAACACCAGAAGCTGCTTCGTTTTTGCCGAACAAAAATGGCGTCGGTCTGCAATTAATCCCGTTTATTTTCTCTTCTCTTTCGCTAGCTAAAACGTAAAAAACTAAAAGCAAAATGACTGGACGTGGAAAGGGAGGTAAAGGATTGGGAAAAGGCGGTGCCAAGCGCCATCGCAAGGTCTTGCGTGATAACATCCAGGGTATCACCAAGCCAGCCATTCGTCGTCTGGCCCGTCGCGGCGGAGTAAAGCGTATTTCAGGCTTGATCTACGAAGAAACTCGTGGTGTCTTGAAGGTGAGTGCCCAGAGTAGAGTTTGTACTTAATATGAGGACTAAACTTACACATGCATTTGCTCCATAGGTATTCTTGGAGAACGTGATCCGCGATGCCGTCACTTACACCGAGCACGCCAAGCGCAAGACCGTGACCGCCATGGACGTGGTCTACGCCTTGAAGCGCCAGGGACGTACCCTGTACGGTTTCGGTGGTTAAATGATGCCCGACCGACATATTATTATACACCATTTGGAAACTACATATAACTTAATCGAGAACTTAATCAAAACAAATACTTGAACACAAACTTAACCAGACGCATATTCCATAACTATTAAACAATTAATTAATCAAAGTGACAGTAATAAAAGTAACATTTCGAGTAGTCATCACAAATTGAAAATCTTTAATTAGAAAGGAGTCGGTTCAATAATCATTTCGTGGTGGCAGCAGGAGCACTCAAAGCTGTGGAGGCTCCCTGACTGGTATGCATGTAAAACTAGAAATTTTACTCTTCATCGCTTTTGGGGCTAGCGCACGGCGTTCCGAAAATTGCTAGTGTAGAGCTGCGCTAAGAACTTGCCTCCCGATTCATTTTCTTCAATCTTAAGTAGGCAGTACGCGGCGACAACTTGGACATTCCATCATTCTTGACTATGTCAGGGTGTCGGCGACGCCTGAAGACCACCATGCTGGGGTACTCCTCGGACGTCAACATTTTGGAATTCGGTACTTCCGGCTCCGAGGTGGAGCCATCGGCCGTCGTCTCTGATGACACTGCAGGACCATGCAGCCCTATGTACGTTTCCACTTTGTCGCGTAGTTCCTTCCTATGCTTATATTCATCAGTTTGTTCGTACTCGGGCGTTCCTTTGCAGCGCTTTGGTATGCATTTTCCATTGGCCTCGCGATTATTGGCCAAGACCACGCTAAAATTGTGGTTCCAGATGCCGGTGCCATCCCCAACCTGTCTCTTCTGAAGGCGGCTTCTTTCCTCGGCATCGCGCTTCGCCTTCACCGCGCTGTCGTACCTGTTTGTAACGCTACCATCTCCACCTCCCTCATAACGATCCCGTCCTTGCTTATTCACGCCCACCTGGACACTGTCCCCAATGTCCTGCTCGAATCGCACCATCGCGTTGAGCTTGTACTGGGATAGAGCAATGGGTTACATTAGTGACTGTCAAAGGCTATCAAGAGGCGAGTCACTTACGTGGCGCTCATTGGCGAATTCGTGATCCGACCTTGACTCGTGATTCTTGTTACTATCTTTGACGTTACGCTCCACGTACTTCATCTCGCTGCGCACCTTTCGGACCTGCAACAACGTCCGTATAGCCACCTGATCTTCCTCGCAAGGGGTGACCTCCATTGACTCCACCTCGGTGGTTTGTTCCGATTCCAGTCGGCTTGAGTATTGCGAATCCTGCGGATCGTTTCGCAGCGTCGGCAAGTCGCTGCGCGGAGTCGTTTCGGGTGTGGGGACGGAAGTGTTGACCAGCTTGCTGGCATGCGACGAGCGATACGTTGGTGATCTGTGGAATGCACCAATGAGGGATGCTGCACAATAACCAGAGGGATACAGGAGACATACTCTATGTGGGTTTCCGTCAATTCCAGATGTTCGTTGGGCATGTGGGTGGGCGATGTTTCCGTGAACTTGTCGGAGGTAAGGTGGGCATCACTGCTCATTAGTTGATTGCTGAGCTTTACATTCAGCCTCTCGGCCTTCTTGCGTAGAACCCGTTCGAAGGAGAGCTGCTGCTCAAGGATCTTGATGTGCTGCAGCAGCTGGCTGATGGTGAACCGCTGGCCCTTGGGCAGGCTCTGCAGCCCCTTGAAGCAGCTGAGATCGTATTCCGGCTCCGGCTTCTTCTCGAATTGTGGAATGCCCAGTTGCTCGCGAATGCTACGCTGCAGGAAGTGGCTGATCCCCTCGTTGTTCTGTACATTGAACTCCTGGATGTCACTGTTCAGATCCAGGCAGTCGAGTATGAGATTGGCTCCAATGTCCGTCAGGCCACAGCCCTGCATGTCGACAACTGCAGAGGCCGGAGATCTTAGAGAGGGATGAGGCCTATGCTGCTCCTACTTACTCTTTATCCAGGCATCCTCCTTCAGCACCTCGGCAATGCATCGCAGGCCCTGGTCACCGATATTCGGATTGTTTGCGAGAATGATCGTGCGCAAACCCAAAATGGATCCGACATCGAGCGTCTGGTAGCGCAGAGACTTTTCCCATCCCTCTGTGTATTGCAATATCTTTTGCATCTGAGGAGGATATCAAGGATTATCAAGGATTCGATGTACCTTTATGCCCGCTTTACCTTGATCATATTGGCCACGTGGAAGGCCCCCTCTGAGCTGATGTTGCACTCGGAGAGGTCGAAGAATGCAATCCGATTGAGGTACTTGGCCGTGTTGCAGACCATCTCGCACCCCTTGTCCCCAATGCTGGACCTGCGAAAGCTCAAGGTCTCCAGGGAATCGGTGGCGGCCAGCGACTAGAGGACACAATGACTATAGGCATCGGAAAGGATTCATAAGATGCTTCTCTTGCTACCCACCTTGGCTATAGCCTCAATGTAGCCGTTACAAAGGGGCAGACCCTCCAGCTTGAGCACTGTGAGATTCTTATTGGTGGACACACAATTGGCAATGGCCTCGACGAGGCCGCGGAAAATGAAGCGTGTGAATACCACCGGACGCTGTCGGAAGAGTCGGGCCCGATTCTCCGTATCGATGGGCTCAATTGTGTCTGCATGGAAAGGCCGTACCTTAGTTTCCCCGCCCTAGGGTCCGACGACACTGGCTACTCACTGTTTGGATAGGAGCGTCGCATGTGCAGCACCATGCTCTGCAGGACGATGTCATGTTGCAGCGCCTCGATGACCATCATCCAGTCGTTAACAGTCAGCTTGTCCGCGAAGAGCTCCAGCAGGGTGTTCTCCTTGGACTTGTTCCGTATTTCCGGCAATGGTGCCAGATTTTTGGCGCGGCACAGCTCCATGTAGCGGAAGTGGAAGCAGCGGCTTGTGCTGGATGTTCTGACGAGTGTCGGCAGCGTTTCCGCCGAACTGGCCTTCTTGGCCAAATCCCTTAGCTGTCCATTACGTATCCCTGAGACACGACTCAACGACATGTTCTGTACGATAAAGCCGAGAGAGAGAGAGGCTTGACTAGGTTTGATATAATTAAAATACGAGTACAATTTGTAGCGTGTAAAAAATTGGGGAAATGATATTCTAAGAAAACTGTGTTGAAAATAAAAACAATTGCTTCCTTTGTTACGCGTTACAAAACATAGAGACGTAGTTTTATATAGTGGAAATAATACTCGAAGGAAGCTATTTTTATCCTTGTTTTTTTCTGCTCAGTGCTCAGTGTTGTGCAACGCTTCCATTCTGCTAATCTAACCTTCAAAATTGCATAAGTCCAAAGCACTTCCGTTGTCCACCTCCCCCACTCTTCTCAATGCGAGATCGTAAACAAACAATTTCACCCCCATGCAGCACCCCCACCAGTCCCCCCCCTTACGACTAGTCATGCCGGTGGAATTTACGGTTCGGTAATTACTCGCGTGCCTGCACTGCAGTCTTTTCTCTCTCTCTCTCTCTCGCTCCCTCTCTTCGTGCCAGGGTTGCCACAACATTCGTTGACAACTCCATTCCCATAGAGCACACACCGTTCCATGGCTCAAGCTCGAGTCGGCTGTGGCTGTGGCTGAGGCTCTGGCTCTTAGTCGTTTTGCGGCTTTCGAAGCTTCCACATCGTTTTGGCGGCTATTTCGTGTTCCGAAAACACTTAACGGTATTCGAAATTTTGAAGTGCAATCGTGATTTATTAAGACCCAGAGCCCCCCACCGCCTGGTCAGCACTAAGTACATTGCGTGGCTTGAAGCACGTTCCGTCGGCGGCGGCGGCGTCAAAGTGTCATTAAAGTGATCCATCCCGTGTACTCATCATCCACATACATACATATGTGGATGGCACCGGTACCCCTACCTCCCCTGTTTGGATTCGAGTTCCGGTTCGTGCATTGCCCAATTTCAGAGCGCGCGACACGTTTATTTAGTTCTGGGGGTTCTTTGACTCATGCCTAATTACCAGTGACGTCGTGCTGGCCCACAGAAGAAGCCTTCACGGAAATGTGTCAGTACAAGAAATTTGAAAGTTCTCTGTGAGCAGTCGACTGGCAATCGAGTGAGGTGAGACATTGGAAGTGCGCCCCAAAATAATTAACATAAAAGTTGCAAGTGGCCCGAGGCAAAGGATACTCTCCCTGTCTGCTAGAGGAATACCTTTCTTAGAGGGTAAGTATTGGAACCGGTTCGGCGACAGGCCTCAGATGTGTCCTGTCCTCACTGGGGATGGTTTTTTAATGCTAAAGAAGCTCTATGGAGTTGCCCAACTACGTTCCGCTTCCCCAATAACGTATGTAAGGTCGCATGGCTCAGGTCAAGGACTTGCTTGCTCCTTCCACATGCACATGAATGCGAAACAAATTGTCTAAGTGGCCGAAGTGTAGCAATAATCGTAGTTTTCGAGGCAGATTCGGACTCGGATGAACGAAGCAGTTGGGTTGCTTGGATATGCAAAAAAAAAAAAAACGAGCTAGAAAAGGAGACCAAGTGTAACGGACAAATGTTTTACGACACTTTGTCTGCATCCAAGCCATGTTACTGCCAAGATTTTGCTGGGGGGCTCAGGGCTAGATTGGCGCCGAAGAAGAGGTGGCAGGGACTACGCACATTACCATGAAAGTGAGACGGATGCGGGCGTCGCTTGAACCTGGCTATGAGTAAAAAACCAAGCTACCGCAACGGAGCTGCCTCCAGTCAGCGTAGTACCCCTGCCCCACGCTGTTGCGACTCTCCTTTTGTTTGTCAGCCAACAACAAACAATAGCTCGCATGGAGCTTTGCTGCTGCTGCTGCTGCTGGCGTTGAACTTGACTGTCGCGGAGCGGCGTATCGGAATCGATGGGCATGACAAACAGGGCCCTAATATGGGGGAGGAAGTGTTCAAATTGGAGTACTGGCATGGGTTCCCCCCCGTCCCCCCGTCTGCCCGTTTGTTTGCTCAGCCACTCGTGCTCCGGAAACTGAAGGCAACATTGGTCACAAGCCGAGCAGCTACAGTGTCTGTCTCTACACGTATCTCTATCTCTGCCACAGCCACTGGCACTGACACTGACTCTCTCTGCACCGCGCTTAACATATTTAATATAATTAAATGAACCCCTGGCTCTGGCTGACATGGAAAGTCAACCGTCCCAGGTGCGGTGCCAACGCACGATTATGTGCATAGTGGAGATGCAGCAGCAGCAGCAGCAGGAGGAACTTGTCGCATCGAAATTCGAAATCAAAAATTGAGATTCATTGTTCATTGAGATTTGCATTTCTGTGGGATTAACTTGGGGAGTCTGTCTGCAGCAGTTTTGCTTGTGGTTAACCGCAACAGTTAATGGGATGGGTTGGCAGGGGGAATGCAATCGAGTGGGAATGGGGGGGAGTGCTGTGGTATCCATTGGCTACAAAGTACGAGTATATTGAACTATTTTCGTGCAGGATTTCACTTTTTGGCCAACTCTGAGCGGGCAACAAAAGGCCAGGCCAGGCCAGGGCAGGCCAGAACATGCCAAGCGTGAACTTTGCAACAAGAGTCATTAGCACTAGGAGGGCACAACCGCCAAGCCAAGAGTCTGCCGTGTCTCAGATGTTGGAGATAGTTGTGGAGCTGTGGAAAAGGCAGCGTCGTCACTCGCCGCCATCGTCATGGCTCTGAGGCTTTTCCGGCTCCGGCTCCGGCTCTGACTCTTCCACTTTCAACTTACATAAATTGTGAGTGAAATGGCAAACTGAAATGACTTGGTCTGATCTCTGCGAGGCGGCGGCGTGACTTATTAATTTGCTTTAATTCAGTGGGTTTTCGCCGGCTGGAAAATTGCCAGCAGGAAAGTGCGTCTCCATAGCTAATGGATTTAATTAAGACTACATTTAGTTTGGCTTTGAGTAGCCCCATTTAATGTGGAGTGATAGCTCTGACAGAGGCATTGACGGTGTAAAAAAACTGTGTGTTTGGGTAAGAAGTACTTACAGCAATCAATTCCAAGCCCACACACATATATGGCAAATAAAATTATTCGTATTAAATTATGCAATATCTGAAACAATAAAACAAAATGAAATTAAACAAAGTTAGAACAAGTATAATATTAACTACAATTTTAGTTGTACTCAGACTGCACAGTAATACGAGAATATGGTTTATATACCCTTTACCCGCTACAGGTATCGCTCGGCTAAACTGATCTGATCGACAGCAGCTTTGTTGATAGCTGTAGTTAGCCCCATTCTGAATATGGCAAAAGCAGTGCAGCATGAAATTGTATGACCACCCGAGCATTCCCTGGCCAGCCAACTGACCAAACAACCCAATTGCCTCTCGGCCATGAATACACATGGATAATTACCCCAAAAGCCAAAAGAAAAACCCAACCAATGCTTTAGCTCCTCTGCAGTTCTCCTTCGAAAAGATGAAATGAAATTGTTGCATGTGGCGCGTGTTGAAAGCGAAATCAGCCACAAATTGTGATTACTTTTGAATCAAAAGTGCCCCAACTGGAGGGGGGGGGGCGATTCACTAACGACCTTGTCTGCAGATTTTTCCCGACGCGATAAAGATAAATTTTCGATGGAGTGAGCATTGTGCAACCGTTGCCAAGTGAAACCAAAAGATGCACAAGTACAAATCAATTACCGGTTGACCGGGGACAGAGGCCGGGGTCTGAGAGGACATTTACGATTGCCAACAATTAATTAAGAAATACTCAAGTATCCAAGTGATTGCGAAATCAATGAACCGCACTGTAGCTCTGCTCTGTGCTCTGTCGCGCTCTCTGTGGCCAGGGTATGAGATGATATGCAAGTGCTCCGATTGCAAATGAGGCAAACCGAGTTGAACTCTCGAACAATGGCAATGTCTGGCATTAATAAGCCGCAGCCAATGGTATCTGTAGCGGCAGCTGTATCTGACAGATGCAGTCATCGCTATGCACTTTTCACACGCGTACATCATCCGCTGGCTGTGAGAAATCAAACGTAGATAACACTGCAACTGCACTCCTCTTCAAACTCTTCAAACTATGGAGAAACATCATTAAATTTTCGTATATTCGTAGGGCTGGAAAATCCCCCTGCCCGCCCCACACCACTTTCAGTTTTCACTCCTCCACTTGCGCAAGAACCAACCAATTAACTGGGCAGATTATCTAGAATTTATTGAGACAAATCTGGCACATGGCATGGCACATACCAGCCAAATGTGCTCGTACAAGAGTAAGTTACAATAATTGCCGGGCAGTTTAGAAAACGTTACGGTCGTTAAACCTTTCAAAACGAAAACAAACACAAAAACAAAGTCAATAAAAATTTCTTCAGCGGAATTCCAGGCTAGTGCTGAGCCAGCAGCCAGAGCCAGAGCCAGGCCAATAAAGAGCAGACGCTTTAATTAATTTGCACATAAAACTTTCGCAAATGATTTGGCCAATTCTCACGCAGAGAACACACGAGCCAGGCCACTGCAGCAGGTCCAGTTCCAGTGCCAGTGCCAGAGTACCTGTTCCATTGAGAAACATTTGCCCGACCTAATTGTTGGATTTTGGGTTTGTTTTGGGGGGGACATGTTGCAAGAGCAGAACCAGAACAGAACCGCATACAGAAAGCTCTCTACTCTAGAGTCTGTCTTTTGCTTTCTCAAGCGAAACTGTTTTGGGGTCATAAGGCACAGCCCCTTCCCCAGAGAGTCACCATAAAATGTGACAGACCAGACCCGCAGGGAAAATGGGTTAGCACTGGCTTTTGGGTTTCTGTTGTAACACAGCTCCATCCGCCTCTTGTCTATTTTCTAGGTGTCGCTCGGCTGGTGTCATTCGAAAGTCTGCCTGTCATGTGGCAGTGGCAGTAGCCAAAAGGTGCTCACTAAAGCCACACATCATCATCATCATCCACAACGACATTCAGCATGTACAACGAACAGCTGAGGCAATCCACAGACTACAAGAAGGTGCGCTTAAAAAGGACACCGCAACAGCCTAGACACATAAGCACCAGCATGGTGATCCTTAGCGTAGTTTTTACCGCCCTAATTGGCATCGCAGCCGCCAATCGTCCGCCTCGTTTCGCTATTGACGGACAGTCGGAGATTGTGCTGCGACTGAAGGAGAGCCCCGAAACGAAAGTGGGTAAGTATTAAGCCAATTGAACCACAAAAAACATTCCATTAACCATCCGAACATTAGGAACTTTGATCTACACGCTCAAGGGCTACGATCCGGACAATGATCCGTTGACCTTTGGCAAGCGAAACTCCCACGACAGCGAGATAATACGCATCGAGAACACCGGCGGCAATGAGGCCAAGCTGTACCTGGCCAAGGAGCTGGATCGCGAGCTGCAGGACGAGTATGCCATAGTCCTGACGCTGACAGACAGCCACTACAGCGACCACAGCTATGTGACGCAGAGCCTGCTGCTGCTGGTCGAGGACATCAACGACAATGTGCCCACCTTCCTGCCGTACCAGAACGCCATCGAGATACCCGAGGGCAGTGGCCCGGCCGTGATCAGCACCCTGGAGGCCACCGACGCCGATGAGGGTGCCTACGGTCAGGTTGTCTACTATCTGCAGGAGCTCGATGGCGACAACGATGTCTTCAGCATCGCCACCCACCAGGGCAAGGGCGTGCTGCGTCTGCAGCGGGAGCTTGACTACGAATCGAAGAGCCTCTATCAGCTGCGCGTGCTGGCCATTGATCGGGCCAACCAGGGACCAGTGAACACGGGCACGGCTGCCATTCTGATCAAAGTCAAGGATATTGAGGACCAGCCACCGGAATTTGTGGAGGTTCAGGCGGTGGCGCGCATTGCCGAGGATGCGCCGGTGGGCACACGGGTACTCCGGGTGCGGGCAATTGACGGCGATCGTGGCATCAACAATCCGATCGCCTACAGCCTGGAGGCCAACGATCTGTTCGACATTGACCGCCACACGGGCATCGTGCACACCCTCACCGCACTGGACCGGGAGGAGCAGAGCGATCAGGTGAATGGGGCGCACATTCTGCGCATCACTGCCACCGAGCTGTCCAGGGCCAACACTCAGGTGGCCCCCGTCTCGATTCGCACGGAGGTGACGGTCATTGTCAGCGATGTGAACGACGAGATACCCACCTTTGGGGAGGCGCTCTATCGCTGTGAGGTGAATGAGAACGCCCAGACCAACACGCCGCTGAACTTTATCGATGGGGATGTGCAGAACTTTGTGTACGATCACGACGAGGGCAACAACGGCACCTTTCGACTGTTCCTCGATCCGCCCAACGATCTGTTTGAGATTGTGCCCGAGCTGGCGGTGAATGAGGCCAACTTTATGCTGCGCGTCAAGAACTCAAAGTCCCTGGACTTTGAGCAGTTCGTGGAGATTAACTTTACCATTTTTGCAAGGGAAATCGATGAGCCCAGTCGATGGAGGTGAGACTTGCGTTTTGGGTGTAGTGCGAGGCTCTAAATATTGATCTTGTTTTCGCTTTCAGTTCCGCTCATGTGCAGATCTTCATACGGGATCAGAACGACAACTTTCCGGAGTTCGGGCATGCGATCTACAATGCCAGCGTGCTGGAGAACAGCGATCAGGGCACGATCATCACCAAAGTGGAGGCCGTGGATGTGGATTCGGGCGACTATGGCACCATGGGCATACGCTACACGAATCTCCGAGGAGGCATAGCTCATTTGTAAGTACAGCAAGCAGACTGAGAGAGTTCCCTAACTTCTAGCCATAACTGCTCCGTACAGACTCCAACTGAATCCCATAACGGGAGTGATCAGCATCAAGCAGCATGGCGGAACGGCCTTCGATCGAGAGATCATCTCCCGGCACTACCTAACCGTGGAGGCCATTGATAATGTGGGCCAGGGCAATCGGAACACGGCGCAGATCATTGTGGACATACAGGATGTGAACGACAATGCGCCCACCTTCCCCCAGCGACAGTACGAGACAAAGCTGCTGGAGAACAAGGGCGAATTCGAGACGCCCCTGCAATTGGAGGCACGCGACTTGGATCTGAATGGCACCGAGAACAGTCAGATAACCTACGAGATTGTGGAGGGTCTCTATCGCTCGAACTTCACCATTGATCCGCAGAGCGGGCTGCTGCAGCCGCTGCACCATTTCGACTTCGAGGAGATGGTGGACACCGATCGGAGGACTGGCAGCGGCAGCATGCGGGAGATCGATCTGCTTGTGCGTGCACGCGACTCTGGCATACCCATGCTCTCGACGGTGGTGCCGGTACTCATCTATGTGCAGGACGTCAACGACAATCCGCCCATCTTCCAGAGGAGCTTCTATGCGAAAACCGTGCCCGAGGATCTGCCCGGCGGCAGCTCAGTGCTCCAGGTGACGGCCATCGATCGCGATGGTTCGTCGCCCAACAATGCCGTGGTCTATCGCATCCAGACGGGTGCCAGCGACAAGTTTATCATCAACTCGGAATCGGGCGTGATATCGGTGGCCCAGGGCGCCAATTTGGATCCCGATCTCACCGACAGCAAGCGCTCCATCTACACTTTGTCTGTGGTAAGCCCTGAAATACTCTTTCTTCTGCATTAATGCTGAGATAATCTCCATGCTAACAGCTCGCTCTGGATGGGGGGCTGGGCAGCTCGCAGCTGATGAGCACGGCCACGGTGAACATCAGCATACAGGATGTGAACAACAAGCTGCCGCTGCTGACGGATCTGCCTGCGCTGAAGATCGTGGAAAACACGCAAGTGGGCAGCTTGGTCTATCGGATCAGGGCCACGGATGCCGACCAGAATGCCATTCTCCGCTACAAGCTGAATGCGGAACACTGCGAGGGCCGCAACGAGGAGGGGTCGCTGGTGAAGGCCAGCGAATACGACTACTTGGGTGCCTTTGAGGTGGATCCCATCGAGGGCGACCTGAAGGTTGTCAAGCTGCTGGATCGCGAGAGGGTCGAACACATCAAGCTGGCCATTACAGTGGAGGATCTGGCAGCGGCCAAGGGCAAGCAGATCGTTGAGGGTGAGACCAGAGACAAGGCAGGAGACTCGCCCCTTGGACCCTCAATCATATCTGCCTTTTATATCCTCCCATTTAGGTTTCCTCAGCATTCAAGTGCTGGACGAGAACGACAACAATCCCAAGTTCAAGCAGCCCTTCTACCGGCAATCGATCACGGAGAACAGCATCAATGGCGCCATGATTGTCAATGTGCTGGCCTACGATGTGGACAGGAATCGCACCATTACCTACGCCCTGGAGGGCAATCCCACCTACCGCAGCCTCATCCACCTGGACGCCCAGACGGGGGAGATTGTGGTGGCCAATAAGATCGATCACGAGCAGCATCAGTGGCTGAACTTTAGCGTGCGGGCCACCGACTCTGGTCTGCCGGCCCGCTCCTCCCTAATCGATGTCTATGTGACGGTGCTGGACGAGAACGACAACAATCCGTATTTCATTGGCGGCAGCAAGAACTACACGATCAGCGAGAAGGCAGCGCCGGGCACGAGGGTGGCCACCGTCCAGGCAGCGGATGCCGATGCGGGGGACTTTGGCAAGATCACGTTCCTCATGGATCGCATTAGTTCGCAGGGTAAGTTCACCATAGACGCGGACACTGGCGTGCTCACGGTGGCCGATCGTCTGGATCGCGAGACAAAGGACTCGTACAATCTGGTCATCGAGGCATGGGACAACTATCAGTTCGGATTTCTGGCAGGCGAGAGCCGCAATGCCTTCAAGCAAGTGTTGTAAGTGTGCTTGAACATAATCGGTATAGGACTGGGAATATATTGAAATATTCCCCTCAGCATTTCCATTCTGGACGAGAATGACAATGCGCCGGAGGTCAGCCTGCCCACGAGCTGTGTGCTCATCACGGAATACCACGAGCTGCACGAGCGCATTGCCAGCATTGTGGGCAAGGACTCGGACGATCCAGCCACACCCAACGGACGCTTGAACTTTGCCATTACCCAGGGCAACAAGGAGGGTAAGTTTGCACGTGGGAAACATTAATCAGACGATGGTTATATGCCCTCCGTTGTAGGTATCTTTGAGCTGCGTCAGCTGGATGCGTGGAATGCGCACATCTTTGCCGGTCAGAGTCTGCGCAACAGGTTCGGCAACTACAGCCTCACCATAACCACCCGCGACTTGGGTGTGCCAGCGAACATAGTGCACAGCACGCTGGACATTTGCGTCTCAGACTTCAACGATCATGCGCCGGTGTTTGTCAGGCCGCTGCACAACACCACGGTGCGAGTGCCGGAGAATGCCACGGTCGGCAGTCTGATACTGCAGGCGTACGCCAGCGATGCGGATATGGGACAGAATGCCCTGGTGCGGTACCGCCTGAAGCCCGATCCCTTGGGCAGCTACAAGATGTTCGAGGTGAATGCCGACACGGGCGAGCTGCACCTGCGGCAGCCCCTCAATCGCGAGCGGCAGAAGATACACGAGGTAAGGAAGTCCCACTGCAGAGAGAGAGGAAGAGATCTAAACTGATCATCCTTCGTGTTTTTTTTCGCTTAAACAGCTACGTATTGAGGCGTACGATCAGGGTCTGCCCACATCCCTGAGCACCGATCTCGATCTGACCGTTTACGTGCGCAACGTCAACGACTACGAGCCGCAGTTCATAGTCAACGAAATAGCCGTAAACTTTACGGAGCACTCGGACCCGGGCGCAGAGCGCATCAAGCTGCCGGACACCATAGACAAGGATCAGCTGGAGCTGGACGATCCCGAGGAGACGCCCAGTCAGGTGTGCTACTTCATAGTGCGCGGCAATGAGGCGGGCTACTTTCGCCTGGATTCCGAGTCCCATGTCCTGACCGTCGATCGCGAGCTCGATCGCGAGTTGGTGGCCAACTTTACGCTGTATGTCAAAGCCACGGAGAACTGCGCCAATGACACTGGAGAGCGCTCCGGTGGCCATCAGCGTCGCCGGATGGGCATTGAGATTAACAACAAGATCGCTGGACATCTGCGGCATCCGGAGCACAGCTACGATCGCTTCAAGCACTCGCGACAGCTGCGCTCGACTGAATACGAGGCGGAGCAGGCCACAGCCTCGGGTTCTGCTGAGGCAGAACTTGTGTCCTACGAGAGCTACGACAGCAGCGTGGAGGATCAGCCAGCGGCAGCGGTGGAGCCGCCCCCCGAAGCAGACAGCACGATCGTGCGGGTTCAGATTAGAGTGCTGGACATCAACGACAATCCGCCGAGATTCCGCAGCAAAATCTTCACGGGCGGCATCACAACCAATGCGGACTTTGGCCTGAAGTTTATGCGCGTGGATGCGACGGATGCCGATGAAGGAGCCAACGCCCAGATCGGCTACTATCAGGTGGGCGAAATCAGGCAGACACTGTCCGAGGGGCTGGAGAATGTGCGCAAGGCGCCGTTTCTGCTGGACGTGGAGACGGGCGAGGTGCAGCTGAACTTCGATCCGCAGAAGGGCATGAAGGGCTACTTCGATTTTGTGGTGCTGGCCAACGATACGCTGGGCATGCGAGATGTGGCCCATGTGTTCATCTACCTGCTCCGTGAGGATCAGAAGGTGCGGTTTGTCTTCCGACTGCAGCCGGATGAGCTGCGCTCCCGCGTGGACATTTTCCGAGAGTAAGTCCAAGGGGGGGATGATGGATGAACTGAATCCATGCTAAGTGCCACTTCTATTGCTTGCAGCACCTTGGGCAACATAACCGAGTCCATTGTCAACATTGATGAGATTAAAGTGCACGAGAACAAGGACGGTTCGGTGGACAAGACCAAAACGGACCTGTACATGCATCTAGTCGAGCGCGAGGATAACTCCATCTACGAGGTCTCCGACGTGCTAAAGCTGATCGACTCGCACATCGAGAGCCTGGACGAACTGTTCAAGGAGCTCAATGTGCTGGACACGCAGCCGGCGGAGGCCCAGCTGCTCACAGCTGGCCCCACCAAGGGCCCCCTGTTCGTGTGGCTCGTCTTTACCAATCTCTTCATGGCCACTCTATTGGTGGTCATCCTGGCCCTGTGCGCCTCACAGCGCAACGGCTACCGGAGGCAGCTGCGCGCCGCCAAAGTCAACATTTTCCGTAGGTCCAACGTCCCATTTATGGCTGTGGAACAATGTCTTAGCCGTATATTTTTTCCAGGTGCTCACTCATCGCTGTCGCTGCAGCACACAAACGAGCCGGCCACGCGGGTGCCGAATACCAACAAGCACAGTGTCCAGGGCTCGAATCCCATCTGGCTGAAGGGCTACGAGAACGAGTGGTTCAAGAACGAGGAGACTGCGAGGTGAGTGTACCAAGGAAGCCCTTTGATAGCTGGCTCATACTTAGATCCCCCCATTCTGATGCACAGCGTTGGCGGTCAGGACTCGCTGGACGACAACTTCCTGGCGGTGGCCACACAGGATATGCACGAAACGCTCAAGGGCACCGCCAAGCTCTTCAACAACAGCAACGATCTAAACCGCCACTTCAATCTGTACAATCAAATCGACAAGCTAACTAATAATGCTCAGATTCTGGCCCGCAAGCTGGAGACCACAGAGCTGTAGCCGCAGTCCATCGTCCATCCAACTATTTATTACACCTAGTCTAGGGTAGTGTAGGGTAATCTTAGGCCTAGCATATAACTAGCTCTTAAGACCCATGTAAATATATACCGAAGTACTGACTCACTGCGTAATTGAGATCCGTTTTTAAAGAAAATATAAGAACAGCTTCTGGTCAGGAATGATAAAATATAAAATAAACTGATTCGGCCTAACTGAAACAGGAATAGGTGGCCTTCCATTAGTTTTAGCGACGAACATGCAGCTGCGCACACTTACCAATAAGATTCAAAATTTTTTTTCCAAAACTTTACAATTCTGGTGTTTGGTTTTTTTTTTTTTTATCGTCAACAGTGAAGGCAAATCAAACGCCTCCTGTTTGTATAGGTCTCCCACCTGTAACTGCGTCTGGATCAAGTGCCCAGGAGGGTTTCAAAAAACTCAGAAAATAAACAATATTTATAGCAGTCAACACAAAATTTATTGCTTTTCGACCACAAGGAATCGTCTTGCAAAGAGAGATTCTTTCTTGTTTTTATTATTTTTTTTTTAAATTTACTTTCAATCGTGTGGATTAGTTGAAAGTTGTTTCTTGTTTGGTTTCTTGTTTCGTGTTGCTGTAAAATTCGAAATTTTCAAGTACCGGCACTACTATAATTGGCCTCTCAGTGTCTACCCAGGATCCAGCTCAAACCCACATTCCTTGCTACTTTCAAATGAATAAAAACAATTCCTGCTTTGGTTTCTTTTTGTTTTTTTTTTTACTAAAAATATTGTATTATATTTTCAGGGTAAAATATTCAGTTGCCATAAAATCAATCAATTCTTTTTTCATTTGCTGTTGGTTTTGTATATTTTTTTTGTTTGTTTGTTTGTTTTGGTTTCTTAAAGTATTTTGTTGTTTTTTTTCGTTTATAATAGTTACACAAATTAGATCACAAAAATGCACATAAATTACAAAAATGAAATTGTACCTCATACCGAAAACTTGGAAAAAAAAACATAACGTCAACTGATGGAAACGAGGCGGCTTTTAGAAGGGGAGGACCCATCTCTGGAGTTCTTACAAAGTATACCAATTGTGGTGTAAAAAAATAAATGTAAAGCATAGAAAAATACATGGTATAGTTTCATAGTTTCGGTATATGTAGTATGTATAAAAAAAACATTAATTTTGTTCGCGTCACTTGCAACAGCGAATTAGATCAGAGTAGCGTTTTCGGGGGCTGTTGGGGAGGGGCAGGGGACAGGGACATGGGCTACGTGAATTGTAAACCCAAAAATCAGTAATGTAATTAACTAACTCAAGAACGAATACATACAATTCAGTTACATCTATGCATATAGAGATAGAGAGTGAGAGTGCGGGAGTTACACATATCATATCATATAATATATTACAGAGTTTCCATTATGTATAAAGTAGTTCCTTCTATCTGCTCGTTCGTTTTCCTTCAAAACTTCCCCCTAAATGATAATCCCAGTGGATGGGATAGCAATGAGCATGTGTGTGGTGTCGTGGGGGATCGGATGAAGGAGGATGCTTCAACATAATGCCAAGTCGATGCATGTGATACATATACAAATACAATGATTATCCAGGGTATATTAAACGTGTTTTTCATTCATTTAATACTTGCTCAGACGACAGATGAGAAATGAAAACTTACAATGGCTGGGAGGGATATGGTGTGGGTTTTATTTTGTGTTTGTTTGTTTGGAATGAAATGATCTGGGGAAAGTCTGTAGGGGCTGTGGTTATTGGTTGGTTGTGAGTTTTATATCGTATTTTAAAGCGTAACAGTTTTCTTGCATGTTTTTGTGTATATGTGTGTATTGGTTTTATATATATGTAGATATATATATATACTATATACTCGTATATACCCTTGTTATATATATATATTACGTGTGTGTGTGTCACTAACTAAAGAAAATTACAGTTTATTTTTAAGTTTTATACTATTTATACTTGATATTTTACAGAAGAATTGAATCGCATGATAAGAAACTCAAAAACGTTGGTTGTTTGTTTGTTTGTTTGAATGGTTAAGGGGCAGCCTAATTTTGCTTTTTAAAATTGTTTAGGCTAAATTAAAATCGAGTTCATAACTTTTTTTTTATTTTTTGTTGATTTTTCTCTCTCTTATTTTTGTTTTTGTTTTATTTTGTGGGGAAAGGGGGGCTTGTATATTTTAAATTAAAGCTTACTCTTAAGATGTATGGTGTTACATATATATATAGTATTTGTTGTATATATATATATATATATTTATATATGTTTTATATAAGTATATAGTATGTATATTTAGTAATACGATTCGCGGTTTCAAACTAGTCCCTTGTACGTTGTATGTATGTATGTGTGTGTGTATAAGTGTGTATGTGTATTGTGTGTGTGTGCAAATCAATTATTTATAAAACACAAAAATTATCATCATTTTTAATTATGGTTCTGTTTTTGTATTTCCTTGTTCTGTAATTGATTGCAATTCTCGATCTCGATCTCAATCGCGGATATCTCGACCTCGAGTGTAAAGTGTTTTTGCTGTAAATGCGCTCCCACAAAATGGTTTAAGCAAATTCATTTGATTACTTAGCTGAACGATGATTGATTGATTGATAGATTGATTGATTCCATCAATGCCATCGAATTTAATTGAAAATCAAAATATGCTGCCAACTTTTCCCTACGAAAGTGGATTCTGTTCTGGTGTTTCTCTGATTTCTGATTCTGATTTCGATTCCCTTTCTATATAATGTATAATGTATCTGTCTGTCTGTCTGTTTTCTATGTATGTATAATAAAGCTGCACTCTACAATCCTCACGTTGTTTTTTTGTTGTTGTTGCTGTTACACTAACAATTAAGGTTACTTTAAGAGTTATATGTATAATGCTACTGCTGTGTGTATGTGTGTGTTTGTGGGTGTTCGTGTGTACTCGAAGATACACATACATTTCATTCTTGTTTGTTTCTTTTATTAGGTATTTGTTGTTTAAATTGCAGTAAATATTTTATCGAAATTTTTTTTCCTCAATTTTTTAGAATTTTTTGTTTTTTTTTTGTTGTTTTGTTTTTGTTTTGATTTATACATTTAACCCCATATCTATACGATTTCCATATGCATATGTGTGCAGGAGCATATACAATAAAGATACACATACATTCAAGCAGCATATACATATATATATATATATAGAATTGTGTGCCGAACCAGAATCTGGTGAGAAATATGCCGAAAACGCCCAAAACTCTTCACGAAAGCTACTCAGAAGTGGACTTGCTGTTGCAGTTTCCAGTTTCAGTTTATAGCTCGAAAGATCTCTTGAAAGTGACGCTAGCCGTGTGCCAGCTATAGCCTTTGACCTGGTCCTCGACCGGGACCGCGTCTTAGGTCTGCACCAGGCCGCGTATATCCGCCACAGAGGCGGAGGCCGGCGTGCAGCTGCTGTTGGCACTGTTGCTGCTGCTGTTGCCGCCGCCGCTGCTGCTGTCGACGAACAGTGTGGCGGCATCGATGCCGGACGTGTTCGTTGAGCTAATCACACCATCGGCTAACATATCATCGAGGAAATCGTTAAGCAGGTCGTTATCCTCAGAGCCGACAATCGTCTGTTGCAGACACTTGAGGTTCTTGTCGGCGATCTCGAGCGCCCGATCCATGGCCTCGCACTCGGCTTGTTGCACTGCGTGGGCAGGCGGCACAGGCCAGGACGAGGGCGGACAGGACAGCGATTGCAATGGCAGCGAGGGCACACATTAATTAGTACAACGAAAAACAAAACAAGTAAAATTGCTGTTAAATACACACCGGATTGAAAGAGCTCGTTGAAGGCATCGTCCGGCAGCGTGTCGAACACATTTACCAGATCGTGCTCCTCCAGCAAGTGGGCGCCATTCAATGCTATGTCATCTGCAAGAGAAAATAAAGGTTCAGTGTTAGAAACAGTGTCGATCCCAGTGCTGCTAAAGCTTAAGTGCAATGCAATCAAAACAGCAATGTACGTACCAGCATCGTTAGCGCCAATCAGCTCCGATTCGCTCAGGCCACCCAGTCCCGTGTCCTCGGAGCTGGCATACGCCGAACTGTTTTCGCATATACCGAACATGTCCTGGCCCAGCAGATTCGCCGTGTTGGCCAGGCCCAGGGCCGTGTGCTGGCCGTTGTGCGTTGGCTGGCCAATGGCATTGCCAAAGGCCGCGTTGAACGAGGGGAAACTATTGTTGTTGTTGCTATAACTCATATTGTTGTTGTTATTGTTAAAGTGAAGGCTATTGTTGTTGAGTTGATGGTTTTGCGGCTGCAGATCCCCACCAGCCGCCGCCAGTTGTGCCACAATTTGGCTAATCTCTTCTGCCTTTATATTGATATTGGCACTGGCCAGCAGATTGAGGCCACTCTCCAGCTGCTGCACCTGCGGATCAGCTTCGAATTTGAACAGTGCCGTCTGCTGCTGCTGCTCATGCTTCGGTTGGTAGTCCCCGCTCAGTGGAGCCAGCGCCGGCGGTATGGACAAGTGTGGCAAACCGTGCGACGATGGTGCAGAGACTGGGACTGGCGCGGGTGTGGGCGGCGTGTAGGACAGCTGGGAATGAGAATTGGCCGAGGAACACTGCGAATTACTGGCTATGGACTCCAGCGAAGTGGTGCTGCTCTTTCGTTGCATCACCGCCGATGGCATCACCGGTAGCGTGGTAATCTGGTTGCTTATTTGGTGGCTCATCTTCTGCTGCTCAGCGTTCGGTTTCCTGCCCCGTTTCTGCGGACGACTTACAGGACTGGGATTGGCCTTGCGTTTGCGCTTGCCTGACATGCCGGCTGCTGCCGGTGCCACTGCCAGCGGCACTCCAGCCAAGGGCAGACTCGCGGCAGCTAGCTTGGCCATTGGCCTGACCATCTCGAGGCCGGCACGCAGGTGGCTGTGAACGGTGCACAGGGGCAGCGTATGCAGGACATCGAAGACAGGCGCCAGGCAGGCTGTGCCGTCCATGCGCCAGGCCGCGCATGGCTGGAACAGCTGCTGGGTGCTGTTGTTCACAATGTGGCGCTCACAGTGAGCGGCCATGGTGAGCGTGGGCTGTCCACAGGTGGACACTAGACAGCGATTGCCAATCCCTCTGCAAAAGACAAAAAAACCATTCGATTAACTTCAGTGCTGGAGAGCAACAGACGAACGTTCACTTACATGCCCTGCTGTTGTCCTGCGTGATCCTGATATTTGACCAGCATATTCTGGACGCACTGGAGACGCTGGCGGGCCGCTCGCACTGGCAAATCTTGCAACGATCGCGTGGACAGTAACTGCAGCGCCTGTCGCCTCAGCATACCCTTGCGGACGGCAATCCGTTCCTCGCGGCGATTGCTGGGCGAGAGGGGAACGTCAAGGACCATCTCCCTGCCGGTGGAGTGCATCCAATGCTGTTGCACACAGTACGGCGAGTCCGTCGCATTGTCCGTCGTCTCATTCTCATTGATCGTCGCTGAGTAGCGCTTGGAGGCGGCCTTGCGACGCCGCTGCCGGACAGCGGGTTCTGCCTTGTCAGCTACGGGGAGTACAATCGGATTGGGATGGGGACTCGGTTTCGGATCCTGTGGCGGAGCAGGCTTTGTCGCTAAATTCTTCTTTGCGACGCTCGCTGCATTGTTGGTTTTGTTGTTGTTGCCTCTTCTGCCGCCAGCAGCAGCTCCTGGCGTTTGACGTTTTGGCGCAGCGTTTGCATTGGCGGCAGCATTAGCATTGGCAACTTTGGAAGACATTTGTTCAGTTTTGATGGATGCTGCAGGAGTTCCGGGCGGGGTGAGTGGTGTGGGTGTGGGAACCGGGGACGTCGCCTGGCTGGCTGCTGACACAATCAGCAGTGTGCCTCCAGAGTGCACAGCAGATCCCAGAGAAACAACGGGAGCCGGTGGCAAAGAGACTTTCAAGCTGGGAGCCAATGCAGGTATGCCAGCAGCTGGCTGCGACTGCGGCAGTCGGTGAGCCAGCAGCGGTGGCGTAGTCACCTCGGGCGGAGTTGGCGGCGTCAGTGGTATCACCAACTTGACTCCGTTCGGCTGAGCTTGTCCTGCTGCTGGTGCTCCTGCTGCTCCTGCTGCTACTCCTCCTACTCCTGTTCCGGCCATCAGGACTGGGGGCTTGCGAAAGATAACATTGACGGGTATCTCGTTGAGATCGCTGTCATCCAAGCTGCTGGTGGAATGTTTCTGTTTCTGTGGAGGAGCGGCTGCTGGCGGAGGAGCCGCCTGGACTGTTCCCGTGTTGAACACCGTCAGTGGTGGCGGTTGTGTCAGGTTATAGGTTGCCGTCCCTATCGTTTTGTTCAGTGACTCTACCATGTGGTTATGTTGCTTGTTATTGTTGTTGTTGTTATTATTATTGTTGTTGTTCTGACATGTCAGCGGCAAGGACTTTTTCTTCTTCAGACACTCCACCTTCTGCAAGTGCTGGGCCAGGGTGGTGTGATGGAACTTCGACGGCGGAAGTGGCAGGCCACCCTTGGGCGAGACAATCGGTGCCACCATGGCGGTCACAGCTGCAGTGGGCGTCAGAGTGGGCGAGGGTAACGAGGCGGGCGATGTTGGCGGGCTGACCAATGCAATGGACACAGCCTGGAGCTGATGATGATGCTTGTTGCTGCTGCTTCTGGCTGGTGTCCAGAATGAGCGGCGTCTGCCACAGCGAGGGCGTGTGGGAGTAGAGGGGTGGTGGCGGCGTTGGCGGCTGCTGGCATGCCTCTGCTGCTAGTTTCTCCTGCTGCTGTTGCTGCGGCCTAACGATGCAGACATTGGTAGCCCGCTTCGGTGACGCTTGCGCTTGCAGCGGCAACTGCGACGGCGACAATGCTGGCTGCTGTCTCTGAGATTGCGTGACATTATTGAAATTCGTTGTTGCTGCTGCTGCTGCTGTTGTTGTTGTTGTTGCTAAAGACGCCTGCGCCTTTGCGGTTGCTGCTGTTGCTGCTGCTACGGCTGCTGCTGTGGCATTCAGCTGTGCCGCAAGAGTGGCCTTTCTGTTGCCTGCCCCAGCTGTTGCTACTAGCCTCCTATTGTTGCCGTTGTTGCTGTTGCTCTTGTTGTTTTCGCTTAGGCGGGCTCGCGATTTCTACAAACGCGCAAAAGACAAAAGATACGTGTAAGAGTTTGACATGGATTAAAAAAAAAAAGGGTTAACAACTCTTGCCATGCCCTTGCTGTGGTGGTGGGGGGGAGGCAGTGGCAGTTCTGCAACTATAACTGCAACTGGGTGCATTGTTTGATTGTCTACAAAAGGCTGCCGGCTACCCAGCAACAATGCGTCCCACTTATGGCACTTACCTGTGCATTGAATAGAATTGGCGGCGCGACTGAAACGGTCTCTGTGAATGCATACGGATCCGAATCCTCTGTCGTCGTCTTGCCGGCGACGCTCTCCCCTGGCGTCAGCGTGGCTGCTGCTGCTGTTGCGGCTGCTGCTGTGCTTATGGCTGCCGCTGTTGCTGCCGCTGCTGCTGTGGCAATTCTCTTGGTGGCTGTATTCCTAGCTAGTGCTGTTGCTGTTGCTGCTGCTGCTGTTGTGGCTGGATGAAATCTGGACGCTTGCTGACATGACATGTCCAATGTGAAGCCGTTGCCGCTCTCGTCTGTTGGTCCTCTCCTCGTTCTGTCTGTCCCCGCTGTCTCGTCTGTTTCTGTTGCTGCTGCTTGGTGACCGGTTGTTGATTTTGTTGGTTCGTCGCTTCACTTTTGTTATTTGATCTAAGAGTGCAAAAAGATAACGAAATAAAGAATCGATAAGTCAGCGGAAATAAAAAACAGCAGCAGCAGCAGCCGGCCTGAGACGTCATAACAGGGCGTTGTCACGTGCTCTCCAGAATGCAGTCACACATGCACTCACTCTCACCCCACACACACACACACACACACCGCCACAGGCTCTCTCTTTTACACACTGTCCCTCGCTCTCACTCTTTCTCTCTCTCTCTCTACTCACAAACACACATACGCGAAGGCTGGGGGGACTGAAGGGGAAACGAATGCGATAATAAAAACAAACTACTATCAAAATAAATAAATCTGTTTCGTTCGCTCGTTCGTTGCTTTCTTTCCGCCTCTCTCTCTCTCTCTTTTCTCCTGAACGTCGCAGTCACTCTAACACCTCCAACCTCCCCTCTTGCTGCCGTTAATGCTAATAACAAATGCTGATAATAAAGCGAATTCGCAATTAACTGGGAGGAGAGAGAGGTTGATTTTGGCCTACGACGCATTTTATACCCTTACGTAGTTTCTGCTTACTGAATTTGTTATAAAGTAAAAAGTTGTTACTCAGAAATACCAGTTTCCAGGAAAGTCATCCAAAGTCATTCTGATCCAGAATATATATGCTTTATGGGGTTGGAAACATCTGTTTAAAATCAAGGGAATATAAATAATAAATACATACTACATCTACATGCATATAAATAATACATGTGTATAATGTACACACGAGTCCGGTTAGACGGGCATAGAGAACAGTTTGTTTGCACAAATTTGCATATACAGATATACACACACACGAACAAACAGCCGTATATGAGCAACAACAAAAGAAATTGCGTATAAATAAATGAATAATAGAAAAGCAACAATTATTGGGGCTACACGCCACACCAGTGGATCGCAGCGGATCGCAAGTGCAAAAGAACGCGACAGAGAGAGAACGCTACACCGTGAAGTCAGATAAGCGGAAAATGGGGGCCCCCGTATTACTGGACTTTGCCAGCGCACAAGGCAAAAGGGGAAGAAAAAAGACAAATTATCTTTTCGATAAAACGATCTTAAATAAAGAGTAGAGAAAATTTAGTTTCTTTTCCCAACTATTTAGGAGATAAAATAAACTACAAATAAAATCGTAGTTATCTATTGTTGGATTGTCTATGTTCTTATAGAGATCAGGAGGTGGTCTATATTATCTGATTGGTCGCAGTACTTGTGGGGGGGTTTATATATCATAAACAATACATTATATTAAAATTTTATATATTTTTTTTTTTTAATTTTTAATCTGAAAGCGTCATGATTAACTTTCTAAGCGATTCAGACTTTTGAACTCTGACTGCAAAATCATACCAACTACAGATAGCTTTAAGACTGAGTGATTCCACCTATACGGCTATATTTATCGCCTCGGCGCTTTTGCGGCTGATTAAGGGAGTGTGCCCAATATATATGTAGGGTGTCCGAGGGTGTCTCTCTTATGAAAATTATAGATCCCTGTTCATAAAAAATCTTCCGTCACAGAGTGCACTTTCTACATATGTCTTCATTGTTTTTTCATTTGCATTGCACTTTGATTAGTTTCACACACAGACATGAGCGCACACATATTGATTTCCATTTCCCCCTCGATGCTTCCATCAGGGGAGGAAAGCCATTTCATGATTATACCCCAACAAGACAGAGAGGATGGGGGGAGTACTGCTGCTTTGTTTGCTTATGTTTTCGTAACATGTTCTGCGAAAGAAGGAAATGACTTTGAAAGCATTTGCAGGAATCCCTGCATAACACACACACACAGACACAGATCCCTCCCTCACAAATGCTGGGGGGGCTCAAGAACACCTCCCCAACTTCTTATACGTGTGCCTGAGTGCAGGAGTGTACGTGACAGTTTTGTTTATGATTTCGTTTTATTTATTCAATGCGTTAAGAAAAAGGCGGGTGGCGAGACGTGGGAAGGCAACACTATACGCACGGCATTGAAATCTTTAAGGTTAAAGACGAGCGAATCGCATACGCATTCGCGATTCACGATACACCACCAGACCAGACCTCGTACGCACCCAGCACCAGAGAAGCAGAAACAGAGAAACACGGACAAGTACATCAAATAAATTCCGACCAAAGGTTTTTGATCTCAAGAGTCCATCCACCACAGAAAGAGGAGAAGGAAGAACGAACCCGAAGACTACGAAGAGTTGTTTTTAACAGACAAATAAAAGAAAGAACAGACTGAGAAACCACACTAAAGCAGACTGTCGATAATTGCAAATAATGACGATGCTGGGAATTTGTTATTGTTTGCTTTTGTTGCTGTTCGAGCCGTTCTGTTTGGTTCGGTTTGGTTTGGTTTGCTTCCTCTGCCATCTCTCTCTTACTCGCTCTGTCTATCTCTTCTCTCTTGTCCATCTCCATCTGTGGCAAAGCCAGTCGCGAGGTTTTTGGCCATTTTAGGTCTTAAATGTTAACTCGTTTTTTCATCCGACTTGGAAACACGCTCGAATGTCGAATGATAAGAGGCAGAGACAAGAAAACAGCCAAAGAATACCAAGACAAAAGAAGTCGAGGCAGAAAAGCTAGTGGCAAGACATCGACTCCGGGTAGAAAAATACTACAACAACAACAACAACCACAAAACGTGTAGAAGCCTTACAAATCATTGTTGTTGGAGCTTTAAAAGAAAATGAGATCAGAGATCTTTCAAAGATATCTAATTGTTGTCGAAAGGAAGTCGGGGCGGGCGGACCTAGAAATGGAAACTTGGAAAACTCATGGGCAATGGTAGTTTTCCAGAACAACACTTTTAAAACGAAGAGGAACTACAATAACATATCATATGGTATATGGTGTTTGTACAGCATTCTTGAAAAATTTCCATCGTTGTTGGCTATGAAACCTTTTCCAGAACTCCTCGCGTTGATGCTGCTGCTGCAGGCAGCCAGAAAATGTTAAAGAAACCCCGCGTTGAAAATGAAGGCCCTGGCAAATGAAGGTTGCTGGCTTAGGAAACTTTGTCTGCTCAAAGGTCTGCTGGGTAAACGAGCTCTATAGAGCCCAGGCCCAGCTACAGCCACAGCCAGGCAGCTAGGCGGCAGCAGAGCAGGCAGGCAGAAAGCCGGTCGAGAGGTTAATTACGAGAGCAAAGCGTTTGGCAGCGTTACGCTCACTGAGCTACAGCAACACATTTACAACATAAAGAACCAGAGATATATGTATATGTATGTAGTAAGTACCAGTTGAACATTTATGGACTGGACCGATTTTATGTACTACATTTGTGGTTGGGAAATACTCTGGAAGGGCAGACTTCTTCGGGCCCTTCAGGAATTTAGCATCCAGCATTCATTCAGCATCTGTCGACGCAAAACTAAAATTACATTTAAATGCACATTGCAAATGCAGGAAAGGGGACGTTGACGTCGACGTCGAGCCCGAAACGAACCGAACCCGTTTGTTGTCGTTGCTGCTTCCTTCATAACCGGAAACTGAAGGCTAAATTGTGTAAAGCTAAATATAAAAAAAGCTATATAACATAATGACGACAGCGACCGCCACTGCCAAAAGAGAGAAGAGGGAGAAGATGCAGAAGCAGGCTGAACGTCAGTTGGAGGCAAAGGCAGACTGAAACCACCGCATCGGCAGATGGAGGCAGGCTGAAACCATCGCAGTGGCAGATGGAGGCAAAAGGCAGAGCGCCAAGAGGCAGGCAGGCAGGCAGGCAGCAAGGCAACCAGCGAAGCCAGACGAGCTCTCAGGCTCCACTTCAGCGGCGCTGTACGTAGGCCCGTCCGTCCACTTCCCACTGAGGTTTCTGCACTTCCAGAGCGGTATTTATGTGGGGGATGGTGGGGATAGATTGTTGATAGAGCCTGGTGGGATGGTGCAATGGTGGGTTGCTGTTGCTCCATCACCACCACCACCACGGACCAGGTTAACGAGGTTAGACGCATAACTTCCTGTTCCTTCTGTTTCCAGACAGGTTTACAAAACGGTGTTTAGTGTTGGCACTAGTAGAACCGAACTATGACCCGTATGGTACATTCTTCCAAGATATTACAGGCGCTTCCAAAAGTATGTTGAGGGCAGTTATTCCGTTTTGTTGTTGAGTGTAAGTAATCCAAGGTGTAATATAAGAGATCCGTATCCACAGTAATCCAAACTCCGAAAGGTTTACAGTTGTTTTCTGTGCACGCTGAAACGAAGCGGCAGCTGTCACAGGTACGGTACTAGCGGAAAAACACAGACACCCGAGAACACACATTTGTATGTATATATATACATCTGTTCCGTTAAAGCCAAAGATAACGGCAAGACGTTTTTTGGCAAAACAAACACACACGCAGACACAGTTCGGAGATAATCATGACTGTCGGAAAACGATATTAAGAGCGCCACCATGCCTACATATGTACATATGCATATGTGCTCATTTGTGTGAGAGAGGGAGAGGCCAATAAACAAATCAACAAAAACTAAACAAAACAAATTACAAATTCCGTGTAAATGAACTTTGGGGGGGCAAGCAGCGCGACGAACGCGTTTTGAATTCCGTTTTAGAGTTTTGTTTGTCACCCGTTTTCGTACTATTTACAGCATTCGTATACATATGTACAGCGTATGTATGTATGCACATATGTGAAGCGCACTCGAAAACCGCTGTTGCCGGCGTTTTTATGATTTCTTTTATTCTCACTGGTTCCTTTTCAACCGTTTTCAAAGGCGGAGCCGCCCTCGCCCTTTTTCTCGTTTCCTCTTCCTTTTTCACTTTGTTCCCCCACTCCAAACCTTATCCGGCCGTACACTTGTGTATTCGCACCCCGTGTAATTGCACATGCACTGGTTGCGTATATGGTGGAATAACTATGAATGATTTCAATCAACTATTTTTAATTGCTGTTAGATTCATTCTACATATATACCGAGTAATCAATGTGCGCTGTGCTGTCTTTTTCTTTGATTTGATGCAAAACAAGAATGCGTCACTGCCAGCAATCAGCGCAACACTCAGCTCACAACACACACACACACACACGCACACAGAGAGAGAGCCCCGAGAGCGAGAAAAAATTTACCCAACCTGATGACGAGCCAAAGTAAACTGGCGCCGCAGCGACGCGCGCAATATACTTGGTTTTTGTTGTTTGAGTACCCTTCCCATCGACAGGGTTGTCGACTGGGCGGACGGTGGCGATATGGCAAAAAATTACTGAAATATGCAACCGAAATCATGCAGTTGTCTGGACAATGATGGCCAAATTCATTTTTAATTGCTTTTGTTAAAACATTTGTAGACAGTTTTGTGTACAAAATGCATTTATGTCGAAAGCACCTGGTACGTTGGCAACTCTACGTAGCGTCTCACAGACACATTCACATATACCACAGCGCGCACACATGTACAGACACATACATTGCCAATTACGCCAGCACAGACCTGGGAATTTTTTCTTCGCCCTGCAATTCCACTTTCAAATGCAATTTTCGGCTTGAAATCTTTTAGTTTCAAACTCCAGACGATCTCTCAGCTGTAGGTAAATATATTTTGTAGCACTTTTTGGTGTTTCGGTTAATTGGGCATCGCTTTAAATGCGTTTTATTATTAAATTTTCGCTTCGGAAGTTGAGAGAAGACAACACGCAAACCAAGATGGCGGACAACTCTGTGCAACTGTATGGGTGCGTTGCGTGAGTAATTTGGGTGTGATTGTATGCGGAGTTGCCACTGTGTTCGAGAAAGTACCGCGCAGAGTCAAAACTAAAAATGATAACGTTTTCCCGAAATATTTCAAACAAGAAGACTCAGTATCATGACTAAAACTGATAACGTTTCCGAAATATATCAAAGGAGACGCAAGTCTTTTAATCTCGCTTTCATGACTTGTGCTGGGGCGGGACAGAAGGGAGATTAAGAAAACAATATTAAACCAAAAGCATGGGTCACCCGGTTGCACAACTGCGATTATGTTATATGGATCTGGCTCTGGATGGGGCTCTGGTTGAAGCTCTGGCTGGGTCTCTCTGGGGGTTTTTTTCAATTACGAGTCTAACAACTCTCAATTCAAATCTCAGGCCCAGTCTTGTTGTTTTCCCCACGCCGTCGAGTTGATCGCTAGCCCCACATCGGTTCAGATTGATAATCGTATAGCTCTGATCAATCCGGAGCGCGATGGGAACTTTTTCTGACCGAAGCACAGCCGCTGTGGCGGCTGTTATTTTCTCGCTGGCATTGTGCTCGACCGGTAGGCAGGGGACGGGCACGGAGCCGGGACGTTTCTATCATTCGTAAACACGTCTGGCAGTGAACTTAGTATTGTATGAAATCTCCATGTCCACTTGCAGCTCAGAGCACAGAGAACTGCCTATCGAATACCCAGAATGGTAGGGCGATCGGGCACTGCATCTCCATCCGGGAGTGCGAATACTTTATGAAGATATTGTCATCCGTGAACCTAACCCAGAGCGATCGCAGTCTGTTGCGCGAAAATCAATGTGGTGCACGCCACCGTGATGTTCAGGTGATACAGAGACTTACCTTGAAGGGAAGTTTTAACCTCTAAACCGCTGTAATCTCTCCACTGATTCATAGGTCTGTTGTCCCAGCACGGAGGGACTGGGTGCACTCTCTGTTCCGTTGCTGCCCCAGAACTGCGGCTCTGTTAGGTGGCAGCGCACAAACACCACAGAAACGCGGATCAAAGAGTTCCCATGGCTGGCTCTTATCGAATACACAAAAGGTGAGTCTACACCAGATAGCCATCAATTCCTCTCATTGCCAGTCGTCCACATTTCGCAGCGTCCAACGAGAAGATCCATGCGTGCGGTGGAGTGCTGATAAGCAGCCGCTATGTGCTCACCGCGGCACACTGTGTGGCCATTGGTGCGGCCGATAATCTGCGGATTAGCGCCGTGCGGCTGGGGGAATGGGACACGAGCACGAATCCAGACTGCCAGTTTCTCGAGCAAACGAACACCGCCGACTGCGCTCCCGTATACCAGGATATTGGCTTGGAGCAGGTCATCATCCATCCGCGATACAGCAAATCCGACCAGAGCCAGGTGAATGACATTGCCCTGATACGCCTGGCCCAGCCGGCCCTACTCAACGAGTTCGTGGAGCCCATTTGTCTGCCCAACAAGCAGCTGCGCGCTGACGAGCTGCAGGGTCTGATTACTGAGGTTGGCGGCTGGCAGGCCAAGTCCAGCCCGCGCCTCAAGAAGAGCACGGTGACAATTACCTCTATGGAGGAGTGCCAGAATAAGTACGCCATTCGGAATCTGCACCTCCAACCCACTCAGCTGTGCGGTGCCGCCAACAGCAACGAGTGCCATGGAAACGGTGGCGGACCCCTGATGTTGTTCAAGAATGGTAGCTATCTACTCGCAGGCCTAATCTCCTTTGGGCCCGTTCCGTGTCCAAATCCAAACTGGCCCGATGTCTACACTCGTGTGGCCTCCTACGTTGACTGGATACAGGAACAGCTAAGGCCATAAGTGGAAGAATCTATTGCATTGCTTTTATTTTTTTTGTACATACGAGAAATTGTTCAACCATTCATATACGAATCGAATGTATGTATTTTTGTAAATCGCTTTTAAATAAAAAAAATACAGCAAATGCCTTTAAAGGTTATGTTTATTTTAATACATTCAAAGATTTATGATTTCGGCGGAATTTTTAAAAGATGTGTATAAGGCGATTCCAGGAATGCCGCTAATGTTCGAATTTTCGAACTTGTACCTATACGAATTAAACTTGAAGAAATTTAACGCAGTTCATATGAAATGAAAGATATCCTGGCCGTTTTTTTTTTATTGATTCTACAAGATAAACTTACAAACATCATTATATTCCGTGGTTTAACTCTTGGCCTCTAGTTAGCCTGTTTTAATAGAGGGGATTAAGTTCGTTTCTTCTTCGGTATATTTCCGTTATTTTTTTTACCATAGAAAGGTATATTTTGAAGGGATTCCACTTTGGACAGGTTCTATGTATGTTCAGTGATGATATTCTTAGCTAGCTATTAATATTAAAATGAATACCAAAATCGGGGAAAACTATTTCCGATCATGAACATTTAACGATTAACCCACTGTCTAATTTTCAAAATGACCGCCAAATCGTTTAACAATATCGATATTATCGATATGGTGGTTTTACAAAATTTGCTCTCTTTTCCGAGGTGATGAGAACGCTTTCGTGGTGACTTGTATTTTGTATATTTGTATTTCAGCAACATGGGGAAATGAATTAGCAGCATTGTTCTGCAACTTTGGCACGAAATCAACAAATCTGAATACCTTGGGAAAATGGATATTATGGACTTGAGATATTGTTTGTAATTTCAGGCTCCAATTAATGCAGAAACTACTTGGTTGACCAGCAACAGTGACGTCACATTTAGTCAACATTTACGTTTTATGCTTTGGCCGTTTTTGTTTGAACCTTATTATGTAAACAATCCAATGAAAAAGAGATCTGAAAACTAGCCAATCCTGTACAAAATTTATTGAAGAATTGAATAAAATTATTTGCTTAGGGCTGACAGCGCCAATCAGCTAGTAATATTGAACTGAATATCAAAATTACGGAATACACAAAACACTTGATAATTAAAGTTTTAAATTTATGGTATTTAAATGGTATTTCTTGAACCTGAAATGCTATTTTATGGTATTTATTTTTTGGCTACATGGTATTTTTATCGTTAACGGTCGCGGTCACACTGCTAGAAATTCGCAAGCTTCGGAAATTGCATTAAAAAAATACACAAAGAAAACAAACAAAGTTTAGCGCAAAAAGTGTCTTTTGAGTGTCAGTGCAAACGAATTATAATGGCAGAAGCAGTAAAAGCAGGTAAATATTGGAGCAGGTGCTCTCAGGAAAACTAAACACGACCACTGGCGACTATCTCCCTTGGTTGTTTTTTTTTTCTCTGATGCTGCTGCAGAGCTGCATTCGACGAGCTGTACAGAGGCGGCCGTTACAGTTTCCGATTCGAATTGTCTTGCAGAGAGCGCGTCCCAGAGGCCCCTGGATGGAGGAGGCGGCGGCGGAGGCGGAGGCAGTGGTAGCGGTGGTCCTCCCATGGCCAATCACAATTCCATACCCAAGCGAAAGCATCGCCGCGGAAAGAAGTCTAAAATGGTACCAAAAAAGACCAAGAACCAATATCCGCAGTGGAAACTGGACATGGCATCCGGCCATCAGGGATCAACGGCAACCACACGCACCAAGCTACTCCGTTCCCGTTCGTTGCTCGTGCCCTACAACACGAATCGTTTCCTGATGGAGGAGCACATGTCCGAGGTGCCCAAAGACGACTCCGATGACAATTGCTTTGGCTCCCAGACAGAGGTGCTGTTCCTCTCCAAGGAGTTCTCCAATGTGTACGAGAGGGCACGCATAGAGCGCCTGGAGACAATGAGCAAAGCGGAGCTAATCCAAGAGTGTTTGCAAATCGAGGATCGTTATTCCAAGGCTCAGAATATCTCCAAGGAGTTCGGGGCTAAAATTCGGGCGCTGGATGAAAAGATGCGTCAGCTTACGCGCGAGAATCAATGTGAGTGGCATAGCCTTCAAATCCTCCAATTACCAAATAATTTTCAATGACCTCTTCTATTTAGTTTTGCGCTCTCACTTCCTTCGCTCGTGCTCCACAGCAGCGGGGCCAGCGGCGGCAGCAGCAGCTGCTGCATCGCCGCCATCAGCGGTTGCACCCACTGCCAGCTCTGCCTGCGAGCTGCAGGCACGCCAACAGCCCGCGCAACAGCAGCCCACGCCCATGGACTCTTCCAGCGAGGACAGCGAGAGCGATAGCAGCAGCACAACCTCGAGCACCACGTCCAGCACAACCTCGAACAGTAGCGATGCCCATGAGATGGGTGTGGCAGGACTGAACATTGCCAACGGCCATGCAGAGAGAAGCCGCTCCCGGTCCCGGTCTCGGTCGCCAATCCATCTCAACGGGCATGCCAATGAGGAGGAGCGTCTCCGTCTGCTGGATCCCAATCCCATGGATGAGGATGGTAACTCCAGCGACGAGCCAAAGATCGGCGATGCAACGGACAAGTAAAAAAAAGAGGACGAGGACCCATCTCTCTCCCTCTTTTATGTAAATAGATTACTCAAAATATGTGGTAGAACTTGGCGACATCTGGACAGACCCCCCTCGTTTAGTTGTTTAAGACATGTGTAAACGCTTCAATTGTATTTTTTTCCAATCATTTTTTATAGCTACACCATCTTACCCTTACCATGGATGTAATATTCCATGGGCGTGCCACAATTGGCAACGCGTCCAAATTGTGTGAAATATTTTAAGATGTTGCTTCATAGCGTTAGCGATTTTAGTGCATGTTTTTTTTATAAATGAGAACAGAACCGATTTGTGGATGAATAAAATTGTTGAATTGTAAATTCTCCACCCCCATACAGATGGAAATGGCAATTGTTTTATGTTCTGCTAAATTAATAATTTAATCAACGTTCATTCGCAACTAACGACCCTTAAATATTAACTCCAATAATAACTATGGTTACAATTAAGTTTACACAACAATGTGCTCTGAAAGCTAATCCTCTATGGATAGTTCAGTTTCTTTTGGCATCATCTCTTCAGCACTTTTGGCAGCTATGCATTTCACAAAGGACTTGTATTCGGATGCGTAGAGAGCTTTTGAGGTGCTTGCGTATCGAATGCCCATTAGTTTCTGCTCCGCTAGTGGGTCCTGAGGCAGCACATTGATTCGCTTTGGACCGCGGACGGGCATCCAACCGCTGACGGGGGCACTGTTGGCTAGCATACTGCCGCGAATGGCGAGATTGAGACCCATTGTGGATAGGCCATCGACACGATACTCGTTGAGCATGAGATCGGCTAGACCGAGGTCATTAATGGTGGGCACAACATCTTCAATGTCTCGGAAATGCGGCAGATAATTGGCGTGGATGAAGTTGACAAAGTTTCTTGGCTCTGTGCAAAAGGCTTCGGTTAAGACCTCGGGGCTGTGCTGCAAGCGCTTGTCCTCGTTGACTGCAAAAAACCAAACCAAACAATCATTAAAGATTCCATTTCAGCTGAATGTATTGAACATACACTTTGGATTCAGTACACGACCAAGTGCATGCATCAGGGTGATGGACTCATCACGTCCTATCGACTTCAGGGTTGACTGCGTCTTGCGTTTGCGTCCCTTGCTGGTAACTGAGCTTACGCTCAGTGGTTTGGTGGGCATGTTGGGTGTTCCCTTCAGGGAGCTGAGATGAAGATTGATCAGCGCATTGCGTATGTCGCCCTGGGCCCCAACGACTATTGAGTCAACAACTGATGACGGCGGAACTTTATACAGCGCCTTGTTCTCCTTCTGCTGCATGATGGCGCAGAATGTCTTCATTGTCTTTTGCATTATCGTCGCTGCGATTGAGTTGAAGCTGATATGGTCGATGCGGTGTTTGGCCTTCAGTTGGTCCGGGAATAGCTTGTAGCTTATGTTGAGACCCCGCGACTTGGCATCGGCTACGATGAATACCAACGGGCATTTCCCATGGATGGAATATTCCCTGCAAAATGAATAATAAGGACTGGAAAGGACTGCTTTGTTTTGTGGATACTTACTCCAGCAATTCGTCAAAGTTGGCCTCAGAATCACTTAGCAGTACATTTGGAAAGTCCTCTACCAGGAGAAGTCTGCGCCTATTCGGCGCATCCAGCAAGGATTTGTAGCGCGAGCCGTGCCACAGAAAACTCTTAAAAGCCTCCAGACGGGAACCCACATAGGAGCCGCCACTGGGTTGGTTGCCCAGTGCATTAATAACCTCACAGTCCACCTGATTTATCCACTCTTGCAGCTTATATCCAAATTCCTTGGCCAGCACACGCAGTGTAGCCGTCTTCCCAGCGCCTGTTGGCCCAGTCACTAGGCATATCTGTGCGGGAGCCTTGATACGCACGGCCTCGCAGTGACGCAGCCAATCCCGCAGCTCGCCAATCTTCTTCGGATGCACGGCCAGCTCCTCGCTGCTGTTGGGCGCAAAACTCTCCAACCAGTCTTCACGAATCTGTGGTGGCGGTGCACTGTCGTCCCCGCATCCGTCTTCATCATCATTTCCTGCCGTCAGATCCACTAAGGCGGCGGCGGCCAGCGTAGGCATTGAATTATCATTTTGATTCCTTCGAGTTCGCGCGCTTGGTGCGCTTCTTGTGCGTTTGGCTGGTGTTCCCGTGCCCTCCGAACCGGCGGTGGGCGGCGTCAAGTTCCAATCGCTGAAAGCGCATTTTATCCACGTTTTCTATGCATTTATAACTGCATTAATTGGATTAAATAAGCTAAATTCAAATTGTTTACCTTTCGTGCGCTCATTTTTGTGTCGCTCCAGCTCTTTCTGAGTAAATACACTAACGCTTGGCATAAATCGCTAGGAATAATACACTAGCGCGTAGTTTGGCGGCAATGGTCACACTGCATAAATTCAAATATTTGAAAATGAAAAAAAAAAGTCGGGGTTTTTTTTTTACTTTTCGTTAAATATATATTTTTCACATAACGTTGGACTTATATATTTGTTTGATTTCGGCTTTATATCTATATAGGGGGGATATACAACATAATTCATTCAAGCATTGAGACAATTTCAATTGATTTCGCTATTTTAATGCACTTTCTTTTCGATTCCGACTGTACAAAACGGTTAGCACATTTTAGTTGTGGCGGGTAAGGCGGCGCATTTTGTTGTGACAATTGAACTTCTTTGGTTTTTATTTACAAAAGCATACAATATATATTCATATAGTATATATAGCGTGTAAACATATACATAAATACATTGATGGGGGGATTACCATAGAATAGAATAGAATAGAATATACATACATATACATATAGCTAGGTCCTAAACTAAAACACTTCACATGCAATGCAGAGCTTAAAAATTAACCATTGAGATACATAGTACTTAGCACATGAGCAGCGCCTTAGCCTTAGCCTTACATCTAACTAGTGGGGGACATCGGTAGTAGAGAGTAGAGTAGAGGAATGAATTTAAACGACGCTCTAGCACCATCATCTTCGTCGTTGTCGTAGTCGTAGTCAGTGCCAAATAAAATTTGATCGTTTCTTAACTAAAAGTTTAGCTTTAGTCTGGTTTAACCCACAGAGCAAGGATCTATACGGATGCACGATCAACGGAGGGATCTAGACCTAACCCCAATCCCTGCTCCATGTCAATTCCTAAGTCTATTTGCTCGCCTCGAAGCGCTGCGTCAGCGATGCAATGTTGGACTTTGGCGTCGCTGACCCTGCGACCGTCTTCACTGTGGGCGGCGTGGGCGCTATCGCAGAGGCCGCACCGCCAGGGCCTCGCTTACCCAGGCCACCGCCGCCGCCGCTGAATGATGGCTTGGCCGAGAGCGGCTTGGGCTTCTGTATGGTGGCCGATGGCGCGGCTGTCAGTCCATTGGGCAGTGTTTTGGCTGTGCTCTTCATGAAGGACTTGGGGCGCGTGGCATTGCCAATGCTGCTGCCAGTCCTCTTTGGCAGCACAACCACTGGCGCTGGTGTCGCCTTGTTGGACGTGCTGGAGTTTGCCGGCGTCGGCTTGAAGCTGGAGAAGGCGCGCGAGGGCGATATGTCGGAGAGAGTGGGCGCCACCCGAGCCACGGGCGCATTGACAGCCGCGGAGCGCAGATATGTGGGAGCAGCAGCCACCGCCGCAGATTTATCGTCTGCCATGGCAATCACGCTGCTCGCCGGCTTGGGCGGTGCCGGACGCTGGGGACTTCGGGGCGCATCCACGGATGCGGTTTCCGCCACCGTTGGCGTTGGCGTTGGCGCTGGCTTGCCCGAATAGATGGAGTCTCCGTTGAGCTTCTCAAACTCATTCACGATCTCGCCCAGCAGCCCCATGTCTCCGCTGCCGCTGCCGTTGCTGGCCAGACTGGCCACCAGATCGCTGCGCTTGAGCGTCTGTGCCGCCGGCGGTATCTCATCGATGACCGAGTAGATGTCGTCGTTGGATGCCCGCGTCTCCACACACTCGCAGTCATCGTAGGTGTTCTCTGTCGACATCTGGCTGGCGCCCACCGGTCGCTGGTAGCCCGAGGAGCTGACAGAATTCGTCTTCTTCACCACCGGCGGTGGACGTGGTGGCGGCGACTTGGGCCGCGAAGATCCGCCGCCGTTATTCACTTGACTCTTGGGCCGTGGCAGGCCGGGAGGCGAGCGCATGGACCCGAAGGTCTGCAGCGGCACCTTCTTCGTGGGCGATCGCATCGACTGGGCCCGCTTGACCAGGTTCTTGGTCTCCTCCTCGCGGGGCGTCGTCTCCGAGTCCGAGTTTGAGGACTCTGTCAGCGGGGCGGCTGGCACGGGCATGGGTGCGGATATCTCCAGTGTCCGCAGACGCTCCCGATCGATGTAGGTCTTCTCCTTGGGCGGCTGCTTGTCCTCCTTCTTGAGGAACGAGGCGAAGCGACGTATGGTCCCGTCCCGCTTAACGTTCAGCTTGGGATCGACATGCAGGGGCACGGGCGGAGCTGGCGCCTGTCGATTGGGTGACAAGTCCTCGGTGCTTCCTTTCAGAGGGACCAGGGTCCGAGTGCTCGAGTCCAGCACCGGCTTTGAGATAATGGGGCGGGCTGTGGAGCCAGGATTAGGCGGCGGCAGCGCTGGCGCCGCTCTGGGCCAGGTGGCGCCGCTCTTTGTGCTCTCCAGCGACGCAGCAGTGCCCGGAACCGTCTCTGCCTTAGCACCGGGTGGCGGCGGGGCCAAGCGCTGCGGCACTCCATTATCCTGCTGCACAGTGGGCTGCACAAAGGCCACATTCGGGCCACTGTAGTTGCTCGCCGGCGAGGTGGCGTTCAGCGGGCGCAGGGTGAATCCCTGGAACTTGCCGAACATTCCAGCGCCGGCGCTGGGATCGTTGGAGTCGCTCGGTGACTTCAACAGCGCCGAGTTCATGTCGTCTGTGCTGCTGGGCGTCGACTTGGGCAGTCCATGCCCATTGCCCGGCGGTGGTCCGCTGCCATTCTGATTGGAGCGCGAGGCGTTGGGTTTGCTTGGTCCCGCGCCAGACGTCTTTAAGCTGCAAGCATATCGAAATAAAGGATTAGAATGCATTACGATAATGGAAATAAGGGGGATATTGGGGGGATATTTGAGTGTGTGTAACATACCAAAGCAGTAGAATCGTGCGGTGGGTAGTAGGGCAACATAAAACCAACACCAAGGCAGGGCAGGGCAGGGCAAGGCAAGGCAAGTCAAGTCAAGTGTCAAGGATACGAATACGGAGGCAAGCTTACAGTAAGGTAAAGAGATACATTCAAGTGCAGGGCACAACAAAAACCAACACCATAAAACGATTAAAAACAAAAACATTATTTATTGAAACGTGCGTACAAAACGAAATCAACTAAAGCTAAGCGCGTGCATACATTACACATTACACATTAAGGCTGCGTTAGTTGTGGATTAGTGCTTTGGTTAGACACACAAAAGAGAGTGCGTGTGGTGAAGGGGTGTGAACGGTTAGCTGGGGGCAAGTTGTCTCCTCGGTACACCGAAGTCTGGGAGATACCCTGGCAGATGTCACAGACGTGGCTGTAGATCGTTTTCTTTGTTTTCTATACCTATGGTACATATGGCAGTGGGGAGTACGGGTATATGTCAGTATATCTCCTTTAAGTCGTATTCTTTCAACTGATTTTATTTTCGATCTGTTTCCTATCTAACTTCGAGAATCGCTCTTGTCCTTTCGAGTTGCTGCACTCGACACGCACAAGCGAATGCTTCCAAAGAGAATGCACGAGAATAAAATATTTACATGACGTGTGGACAGCTCGAAAATTGAAATATTTTGCAGGGGTATGCAATAATTTAAGCTTTAAATTGATAATTTTATAAATGAGATTAAAATACTATAAATTCATAAATATTTTGCAAGTTTTCGTGCGATATTTGCTTAAGGAATAAATTGGCACACGAGACTAATGAGAAATCTATATAAGGATCTGGATTCTGTCGAATTTTACTGTACATAAATACAGCAGAGGGACATAACTATGCACGATCCATTGCAATAAAAAAAATTATTTTAAGGCCTTAATTTCTCACTTAATTATTTTTGGATTTTTTCCCTAATGGTCTGCAATCTGCAAGGATATCGGAAAACGCACTCGATAAGGCAAAGCCAAGGCTCAAAGTCATGCAGCATTTTGTTTTTTTTGTTTGTCTGTGTTGCAGCGTGGCAGTGTGGCAGTATAAGAAGCAGTTGCAACTTGCAAGTCATATTTTCTGTATATATTTTTTTTTGGTTTTTTTTGTGATTAGTATTTGGCGCACCTCGCGGGGTCGCTCTGTATGTACTTGGCGCCCTCGGTGAGGGCCAGAGGATTCGTGGTTGCATGCAGACGCGGTGCCGTGATGTCCAGCTTGCGTCTCAGTGTGTTGTTGCTGGTGTTGCTCGTGTTGCTTGTGTTGTTGTTCAGTGACTCTGTGTTATTGTTGTTATTCGTGTGCTGTTGCATGGCATTCAACTGCGGCGTGGAGAGTTTACGCCGCATAGTGGCCGCCAGAGGCTGCACCACGTAGCTGCTCTGGCTCCTGGGCACGCAGGGCGGCCGCGGATGCACTGCGACCGGGCTGCTGCTGGACTTTTGGACTCGCGGCAATGTGGCGTGTATGTTAGTGATGGTGGCAGGGGCGGTGGCAGTTGCCATTGTTAGGTTAGGTGCAGGGTTAGTGGTGGGTATGGGTATGGGTGTGGGTGTGGGTGCGGGTGCATGTGGTTTGGGTGAGACGCAGCTGCTGCTGCTGCTCGGATGGCAGCCGCTGCTGAAGGACGTGGAGGTCGATACATACATATTGTCGGCTAGCTTTCCCCCGCTGAACATTCCGTTCTTGTGGCAGTGATAGACCAGCCAGCAGACGCCCACCAGGGGCAGAACCATGAAGAACAGCAGACAGAGGAACCGCTTGAGGCCCAGGGCACCTGAAATGGGATTGGCAATGATTAGCAATGATCCTCCTGCCTCCAACAGGCTGCATTCGAGGACTCACCATTGGGATCCGTGGCTGGGCCGCTGTCCTGGGAGCCGCCCGATCCGGCCAGGGCGCACGACTCGCCGCCAAAGCCCACGTCGCAGTGGCAGTGGCCCCGACTGTTGCATATCCCATTGCCGTTGCAGTCGTCCGGGCAGGGCGTGCCCATGCCGCGCTGGCGCACCTGCTCGACGGGCAGGCACCGCTGGTCCACGCACATCATGTCCTCGCCGCACTTGGCCCCGTTGGGGGCGAGGCCGGGATCGGTGGTCTGCAGTCCCAGATCCACCAGGGCGGTGCGGCAGGCGACAATCTTGCGGTCGTGGCTGACGTAGGAGTGCGACAGGACGGCGGCTGACTCCATGCCGAATTCGAGCCGCTCGTTCAGATGGTTGCAGTGCAGCATGCCGCAGTTCACGTGCCTCGCCTC